ATTGTTAAACATACTTATATACGTTTACATATTATATACATATATCGTCTTTTCGCATTAAAGTGTACAATTTCCAAAAATATTCGAAATTGAGTTAATAAGCGGAATCATTTGATAACATCAGTATTTTTCTCATAAATATTGTCAAAAGAGCGTTGTTTAGTTGTTTTTTTTTAGTTTACCTATGTTTTGATTATAATTAACAAAATCTTATACCTTTAAACAAGCAATTCTTGTATATTAATATATATTTATATAATCTGAATCTCGGAAAAATTTAGTATACAGGGGATTTCGGGGGCGATAAATCGATCTAGCTACGATTTATTTTCAGAAAATGTTGTTTTACTCGTGTTTTCAATAATCAACTCTTCCCGACATCTATTGGCGAATAATAATACTATTTTTCTTAATTGAGGGCAACTAACCGCTTTAAAGACACAACAAGATGGCGTTATCAAAGCATAAACCGAGCAAAGCTCGGTCATCATCTAGTTAATACATAGTTTTGTCTTACTTTAAAAAACAATGTATCTGGTAAAAAATAAAAAATAAATGTTGCAAAGACTTTTAATAATAAAAATATCACATTTTTAAACCTTTAAAACACTCTCCCGTAAAATTTGTAAGTTTTGAGATTATACAGTTTTAATGCGACCAGACGATATAGATAACACACATCCAGACAGAGAGCAAACAAAGCTGTTCATCACACGAATGTTTGCGCGATGTGGGAATCGAACCCACGACCCTCGGCTCAACTGTCTGGGCCGCTAACCACTACACCACCGAGTCAGTCTAATTGAAAAGTAATTTGGGTCAAGTGACTTGTTTTTTTAATACACTTTTATTAGCTTCAGACGTATGTATGTTAGTATGTAACGGAATCTTTGAACATGATTTTGACTCCCTTCAAAACGTCGGATTAACTCGAAATTTGGTATACTTATTAAGGACCGATGACAATTCAATATTAAAAAAAATTGAAAAAATTCAACAAAAAAAATGAAAAATAAATAATAGTTTAAAAAAACTAACAAAATACGTTTTTATAGAAAATCCAACAAAAAATAGACAATAAATTTTAATAAATTTTAATTAAAAATAGTGTAAGAAAAAACGATTTTATTGAAAAAAAAGCTTGGGGTGCATGGTATCAGTAGTTATAAATATTTTATAAACAGATATGAGTAGAAGGGTTATTTTGATAATATCCTGAAAAGCACGCCACGCTTTTTTTTTTTACAATAAAATCACTTTTTCTTATACAATTTTTAATTCAAATTTATTAAAATTTATTTTCTAATTTTTAGTTGGATTTTCTGTAAAATGGTATTTTGTTAGTTTTTTTTTAAAGTATTATTTATTTAATTACAGAATTCTATCGCTTTGTCTGCTCACGTTAAAAACACATAGTGTTTTTAACCATCTGGTATACTAAGAGAAGAAAATATTAAGCCCTTCGACTGACGTGTAGGCCACCGGTGTCCTACGCGGCGCTCTGAAGTAATCATGTCGATTTTCGTTACTAAGGCGCCTGGATGGACTAACTTAGCATTCTTTTTTTGCTTAAATGGTTGAACGAGCTCACAGCCCACCTGATTTTAAATGGTTACTGAAGCCCATAGACATCCACAACGTAAATGCGCCACCCACCTTGAGATATAAGTTCTAAGGTCTCAGTATAGTTACAACGGCTGCCCCACCCTTCAAACCGAAACGCATTACTGCTTCACGGCAGAAACGGGTAGGGCGGTGGTTCCCACCCGCGCGGACTCACAGGAGGTCCTACCACCTTAATTTGTTCGTTAATGAATGTTTTAGTATTTTAGGTGTCTTAGAAATAAATTCGTTCTCAATATAGTTCGGATTCATCTTTCCCAGAGTCTACTAGTCTACTACAAAGTCTTCCGGTGCTTTAGTAAGAAGATCGAAAAGAGAAATCGAATTAATTACTTCAGTGCGCCGCGTAGGGCACCGGTGACCTACACGACAGTCAAAGGGTTAATCCGAAAATAAAATAAAAAATAACATACAATACCTAGATAAGACATTGAAAAGTAATATTGTATTGGTCTCTAAACAAAATTCATCCATTATTTATTATTATTATAATACATTAGAATTTCAATTATTAATAGTATACAAATTTTTACACAAACGATATAAAAATTTAATATGTAAAAAAAAAATTTGTTTCCTTAATTCAAATACGTCATGCGATTCTAGACTTTAAGCTTAGGCAGAATAAGACTCATTTCGAATCGCTTTTAGAAAAACGCGCCTTAAATCCCAACGCTCTGTGTACTAAAAACAAATTAATTGGAACGCTTATGAACTAAATATAATTTCACAAAAAAAAAAAAACCTAATACATTTTCAAAGTTCCCATGCAAAGGGCATATCTCCGTCGAGCCAAGTCAAACACAAATTTTAAATACACTAAAGAAAAACATGCAGTCGAATTGACAACCTCCTTCTTTTTTTGAAGTCGGTTAAAAACACAATTACCTCTCAAATAACACAAGAATCATTCGAACCAGATATAATAGAAGACACGACGTATTATTAATTAGACGGTCGAATTTTCAAGCGTTGTAGGGAAATTGAAAGATATATATATATATATATATCGACGCTTGAAAGGCAAACGTGACTAAGCGACAATCCGTGAACTTTACAGTAGACTAATTCAAAGTTGAAATACCTGAAAACAACATTCTATTTTAACGAATCTAGCTGCAGGATTGAAATGATTTTAATAGAACTAGAAATACATATGTTTTGCGCATCGAATATGGTTATTGCCTATCATTTATGTACAAAGCAATTATTGTCGCTTAGTCACGTTTGGCTTTCAAACGTCGATATACATTTTGGTTCGTTTAAAATTGATCGCAATTTTGTAACAAACATCCTATCGAGTCTAGGGTATCCGCGGAGAAACAGCAATGGATGACGAATGTTTTTGTGTTTATTTATAGGGATAGATCGGGAGCCCGCAATGGACATCGTCGCGTTAATGCCGTCCTCTTATTGAGATCTACAACGTAAATGCGCCGCCCACCTTGAGATATAAGTTCTAAGGTCTCAGTATATTTACAACGGCTGCCCCACCCTTCAAACCGAAACGCATTACTGCTTCACGGCAGAAATAGGTAAGGTAGTGGTACCTATCCGCGCGGACTCACAAGAGGTCCTACCATCAGTAATTACGCAAATAATAATCGACTCGCCTGTAATTATGCAAAAATGTAGCTTAAACCAAACAACATTTCACCCATCGATATTATTATATCATCGTAATTCCTTGACGCGTGTGGGCGGATTCTCAAGTCAACATGACGTCTTGAAGTTTAAGGATATGACGTCACATATAGCAAGCACCTTTAGAATTACAGAGACCAATTCCGAAATTTTTGAATTTCGACTTTAATTCAAAAATGGACTTAGAACGACCCTTTTCAGCCACTCTTAATAATCAAATGACCAAAAGTAGCTTAAGAAAGGGACAAACTTATTCATCGTTCTCTTTCACTCACTTTAAGTCGAAATCGATTTGAAAACTTTCGATGTTTTCAAAAAAACAATTTTTTTGGGGTTGGATCTCTATAATACTAAAGGTGCAATATATGTAGTACAGGTACATACAAAACTATTAATAGAAAACAAGTTATTACAACCATCTCATTCGCTCTCTCTATTCAACAAGACTAAACGATAGAGACAGAAATACACAAAAAAATAAACGAACGTTCTAGATCCCTTCTTAATAAGGCTTATCGATAAGTTATCGGAGCTTTACGAGTCGGTTACAGGGAGACTGTTACAATTAATCGTTATTATACGTAACACATAACGGACACTGCAGATGTCCATGGGCGACACTTATCGCTTACCATCAAATAGACTGTCGTTTGCCTATAAAGGCATTAAACTAAATCGTATTTAAAACAGGTAAGCCTTAGAGCTCTTTCACAACTCCCTACAACTACCCTCAAGGGTTTAAATATCTATGAATGCTACTTCCTTATTCTTAAAATTTAATAATATTAATAATAATAATAATACTAATAAGTCACTTAATAAAACGCCGGGCCGTCTGCCAGCCGTTATGGAGATTAGTCACAACACTAAGACAAATCGGGAAAATTTAATCTTTTTTTTTCCCAATAAATATTAAGATTAATTAATCAATTTAAAACGTGTTGCAACTATCTCTCTCGCTCTCTCTCTCTCTCTTTATTCAACAAGACTGAATGAAAGAGACAGAAGTACACAAAAATAAACGAAAAGACACAAAGGTAAATATAAAGGGGGAAAATTTAATTTTTTTTATTTATTTATAAAAGTTAAGATTAATAAAAACAAAAAACAAAAAGCTCCCATAACTCATTACTACATTCGTATTCCGGATATCTAAAGCTCCGATAGCTGTATCCGACATTTTTAGTACGGGCTCATAAGGCTTCTATGACACATTAACCGTTATGATATTAAGATAAAGTATCACACATCGCTGTGAAGGTAAATAGGAGATGTGAGTCAATTTTATTAAAATTCGTCCTAGATGAAAGCGTCGTTGCCCGATATGCAAGACGTCCGGTGCATTAGTATCGAGAGACTGTGTTGTTCTGATGAAGTTACTTACTACAATCTACATATTACAACTTTAGAATTGAAGAGGCTTAGATCAAAATTCCTGTTTGTCTTTTTCTTGGTAAACGCCAAAAATTTGCAAATTTATCAATTTCGATTTCAATACTTTAAAGCTTTAAAGTTTTAAGGTACGCGCTTTAAGGCTTAAAGTATTAAAATCAAAATTGAAAAACAACAATTTTTCAATTATATTATTGGTTTTTACAAAAAAAAAAAACAAGGATTTTGGATACCTAGATTTGATTGATTTAAATTGTTTAAAAAGAGATTAATTTTAAATAAAAGGAAAGTGTTGACCTTTTCTAGACTAAAATATAAATTTAATTTTTAATTTTACATAATTTAATTTTATAAAAACTATTAGAATAAATACAATGTTTATATAAGTCGTTCAAAATATAAAACTAATTTTCTTTTGAAATGTTTAGTTAATTAAACCACTTCAATTCTAAGGGTGCGAATATGTTCAAGATTGACTTTGACGGTGAAGGAATAACAATGTATCTAATAAAAACTCAAAACAGTCACAATTATTAATTTTCTTAAAACACTATACAATTACAACTGAGAGACGACCATTGACGCTGTACTCCGGTGACCACTTAACGCGAGCCGAGCCACAGACACGAAAAAAAAAAACCCAACACAAACGCACCTAACGCTGAACTGAATGTCTATTTTCCTCGCACAATATTTCACACATTTAATTCATAATTTCAAAGTTCTATATTAAAAATAAAAAAAAACATTACGTCCATTTTAATCACCAAGCCTGACAGACACTCGGTATACGATCGTTTACGTCACAACCGGAGTCCGTGGACATCATCAGTGCGTGACGTTCGAACCGGGACCAGCGGGCCGCTCTCAACCGGTAATAATATCACAATACCCACATCGATTATGTATAAGCGATCCTGCCTCCCCCCAACCCCCCGCACGCCGCGGTCGCGCGACGCCCACGCCACGTGCACACGGGTCCGCGTGACGTCATCGCTTGATTATGACGTCATCATGTCGTTGACGGACCCGGCCGACGACACCGAGGTGCCCTTCAGCAGGTCGTTGATGTCCCGTCTGAACACGGACAAGTTCTGCGTGAATCTGTTGGAGAGATGCGACATTAAAAATATCTCTCATCGTATGAAACGACAACTAACGCCATCTGCTATTAACGGAACCAAACCAACGTTAATGAAATTTTATTTATATTTTCAACTAGCTACCCGCCCCCGTTTCGCTTCGGAAATATTAAATTTTATTATTTATGACAGCTGAGTCTCGCGACGTTACACGCAGTTATTGTCGTACCACGGGTGACGCTGCAGGGCAAAGCTAGTCTAAAAAAAGTAGTCCAAGTTACTCCTTAATATCATGAGCTACCCTATGGGTGAAAGTCGTCAAAATCGGTCGGCAAAGCCGGAACAAACAGACAGACAAAATTGTAAAAACGTTATTTAGGTGTATGTACAGTATATATATTCATATGCATGTAGTAAAAAACGGTTATTTCAATATTACAAACAGACACTCCAATTTTATTTATATGTATGTATAAACATACTCATCAAGTTTAAAATAGTGAATACAATTCTACAATGGTGAAGGGAATGTAATATGACAGTTTGAAAACACAATTATTATAGAATGTTCTAGAATGATTGAACAAAAATAAAATACTTAAGAAAAGGACAATGCCCAAAAGTGGGCCAACTTTGTGTCAAAACTATTTGTACTTGAAAAACTATGCCTTATTTTTTCACGTTGTTTAGTTTATGTATCAACATTTCTTTCACTGATAACATCCGAAAACTGAGTACTTCGGTCAGTCATAGTTTTTAAATTCGCCAATAGGAAGTCTTAAAGTAAATCTAAATGCTGGCAAACGAAAGAGTTGTATGTGACTTAAACAAATAAAAAAAAAGCTAATGGTTATAATTGACAGACTTTTTATCAATTCAATATTTGTATATTGTAATGATAATCATAATTTAAAACCATGAATTACTTAATATTTTTGGACATTAATGATTCTATTAGTAAGAATCTCAAGGGCCCACCATTACCCATTCTTATTATTTATGGTCAGAGAGTTTTGGCAGCAACCCGAGTGAAGCGGACTTGAAATTTTATTTAAATGTTTTTTTAATAGTTTATTATGATGTCTATTATATAAATTGCGTGTTGTTTGGTGTATTAAACATCGTAACATTGGAATAAAACTGTGGCTAACATAGCAGTGACTGTTTTTTTTTTTTTTTCAAAATAAAAGGTCTGTGGAAACTCCCGCTCAGTCAATGTGTTATTCGTCGAGTTGACGTTAAAACTCCCNTGATGTCTATTATATAAATTGCGTGTTGTTTGGTGTATTAAACATCGTAACATTGGAATAAAACTGTGGCTAACATAGCAGTGACTGTTTTTTTTTTTTTTTCAAAATAAAAGGTCTGTGGAAACTCCCGCTCAGTCAATGTGTTATTCGTCGAGTTGACGTCAAAACTCCCAAAAAGCAATAAAAAGAGATATACCGGCTTTTTATTGACATGAAAATAATAAAACTACGACAGACTAGGCTGTATAGGCTACGCTCTTTGCCTGCCTATTGGCGAATTTAAAAACAAGAACAACAACAATATCTTTACCGGCTTCCGGATTTTCATTCCGGAAAGAAAGGTCAATGAAGTCCATTCTCGGAAACAATCTTCATTTTATTATTATTATGAGGATATAATAATAATAAAATGTACATAAGGGCTTATTTCCAGCAACATTAACCACAATTAACTTATGAATCCTGACCTGTCCCGGTTCTTGGTGAGGAGGTTCGGCTCGATGCTGGCCATGAGCCCGTTGAACCAGTCCGCCAGCTGCGCCTGCTTGTCGCGCGGCTGCTGCGCGATCATCTCGCCGCGGATGCGCGAGAACTGCTCCTCGTTGAGCAGGATCAGCCCGAGCAGCGGCCGCGACATCGACCACTGGTTGCAGCAGTCCTCGAATATTATCACGTTCAGAACCTGCAAACGGTGTAGTTGAGATTACTTCAGAGCTCTAGCTATAGTGGTCTTTAAGTAATAAGTGGTCGTCGTGGCCTAAAGGATAAGACGTCCGGTGCATTCGTATCTAGCTACGCAACGGTGTTCGAATCCCGCAGGCGGGTACCAATTTTTGTAATGAAATACGTACTCAACAAATGTTCACGATTGACTTCCACGGTGAAGGAATAGCATCGTGTAATAAAAATCAAACCCGCAAAATTATAATTTGCGTAATTACTGGTGGTAGGAGCTCTTGTGAGTCCGCACGGGTATGTACCAACACTGTCTATTTCTACCGTGAAGCAGTAAAGCGTTTCGGATGGGTCGTCGTGAGCTTCGCGTGAGAGTAATTCATGACGTCATCAGTGACGTTATCGCCGCGACCACAACGACCGCGGTCGTTCTATGGAACGACTAAAGGAGCATTTTCATCGTTGTGGGCGCTTAGTGGAACGCAACCAATACAAAATAACTTGGCTCTAACATCCTGACACCGGTATCAAACAACCAAAAGTCAAAAAACTTTAAATTATTTATTTCTTCGGGTTACCATTGAATTGTTTTTTATAGATAAATTATATTTTGCTATATTCTGTATGCTGTATATATGAGCTACTATGTATGTTCTGTGTATATATTATGGTTCTAAGTACATCCGAGTGAGTACAGACCGTGGCTAGAAGCTGCTGCATGATCTCTGGTCTCCGCTGCAGCACCTCCACGAACATATTGCTGATCTCCGGCGGGGGCTGGCGGGGCTTCGGGACTTTGTTGCTCGCTGGAAGAACACGAGACGTTTTAATTTGCCATGTATATATACCGAATGGTGACTTGAGACATGGTGACCTGATATCCCGCTTAAAACTCGGCGGCGTAGCAGCACGATGGCTACCCCGCCCTATAGAAATAGACAGGGAGGACACACGTACAGTAGATTGATGGGAATAGAGACTTTTATTTATTTATTTATTTTATTATTATTTGTGGTCATAGGTTAACAAAGATTAATAGGTTAATATTAATAAATGTATCACATGTCCTGCTAGTAAAGCGTACAAATATTAGGTGTAGGTATAATCTACATAAAAATATTAAACTTAAATTATAATTATTTAACTCTATTCTACTTTATCATTTAAATTATCCTTTAGTAAGCCTTATCTAATAAAAATACTTGCAATTTTTGCTTAAAATCTTGTATATCTACTGTCTTCAAAATTTTTATCGGTAGTTTATTAAATATTCTTGTTGACATACTAAAAAAACTCTTGTCATAAAGAGCAAACTAGAGTTAGAATGGGTACAAATCTGGGATGTCACAATACTTTTGTTGAGTTTTTAGAGATTTAACTTTGTTGAACTGAAAATGACTTAGTGTTTAAGAAGATTAGTTTAATTTAGTCATCAAAGTTTTAAGTAACTAATTAAAGATAGTTAATTAGAAGAAAAGTTAATTACCTACCTAAAGTTAGGTACCTACTTAACAACTAAATAGTGCCAGCCCTATCGAAAAACTCTATTGTCCCCATACATAACCTGATTCACCCCAAAGCAAAAATAAATCAAGCTAGCTTTTTCAGTTCTCTATACTTTGTAATGAACTATGTATAATAAAGCATCGTATTTAAACATGTAAGCTTCCGGAACCATTTGAATCTCAATTTTATCGGTATTACCCTAAGAAAAGCCATTGAAAATGTGTTGGATTTGGAAAGGGTCCCGATTCTCCCCTAATCTACTGAACTACCTACCTACTACTTCGATTTATTGAAACAAAAAAACACTAGCTGCCAGCGACTTTACCCGTAGCAAAATGCAATTTTATATTAAAACGTAAGATAATTTTAGGTGAAAATATATTTTAAAATTTAATAATAAACTAGAGTAATTGAATAAAAATACAATGAAAAGTTTCAAAATTTATATCATTATTAACATAATATTTGAATATTTAGTATTGCAACGTTTGGCAGCCCCGAATGGGAAAATCAATTCGGTAAGAGAACTCCTAACGTTTATGTCAGCCTGGTACTGTTGTATAATATATTTAGACGCGTTACCTCACTTTATTAGACGAGCAGACAGCCCATTTGATCATAAGTAAGCAAATTTTGGTTCAGTGACGCAGCCGCTTCTGATGGTAAGTGTTACCTCGAACCTCAAAGTAATCGTCGCCTTGAGACATGAGGTCGAAATTTTTAGTAGTACGAATCGCAATAGAAGCAGTGGTTCACGTAGTTTGTTCGGCTATGACTGTGCGGGAGTTGACACTGACAATGTGTTGGCAGTACACGCATTATTTGTAATTTAAAGCCATTTTACTGAGAATTATTGAGGATCGCTGTTGATTTGATCTCTTAGTGTCAACGTCGCCATTTTTCGTATCTGATTATATAGTTTTCTCTCTTTCTCTCTCCCTCTGCCTACGATATATATTTCTCTCTCTCTCTCTCTCTTATGTAACGAAACGTAAACGCGACACGTCCATAAAATCTAACTCTCGATTTCCACTTTCAAAAATACAGGAGCAGTTCGTACACACAACACAGTTAAAATCCAACGCGTTCTATCTCACTCTCTCACAACTACATCGTATCTGTCTATCTCTTTTCAACGTCGCTCTTTTCGTTACACCGAGCTCCAGATGTTGCCAGACACACTTCAATAACAAGATCCGGTATTATGGCTCAGTGTGCTCAGTGCGAGTTTTTTAACGTTCTCGATAGCGTAAAAGTTAGCTCATATTTGTATGGAATGGGATCGTTGGCGTACGTTTGCCACTAGGGGCACTGTTTCAACTGCATACAAAGTTGGGTTAACTTTCACGCTATCGAGAACGTTAAAAAACACGCACTAAGCACACCGATGTCGCCTTGCACTCTGTATACTCACTCTTCTGGACGAGCTGTTTGAAGAGATACGTAACGATGTAATCTAAGGTGGCGCAGCATCCCGTGCACACCGTCGTATCTGGAAACAGAACATTACAGACGAATGAGGACATTTTTTTAATTTTTATTGCATAGATTGGTGGACGAGCTCACAGCCCACTTGGTGTTAAGTGGTTACCGGAGCCCATAGACATCTACAACGTAAATGCCGCCACCCACTTTGAGATGTGAATCCTAAGGTCTCAGTATAGTTACAACGACTGCTCCGCCATTCAAACCAAAACGCATTACTGCTTCACGGCAGAAATACGGAGGGTGTTGGTATCTACCCGCGCGGACTCACGGAAGGACGCAGAAGGTCTCAGTATACTGAGACCTTAGAACTTATATCTCAAGGTGGGTGGCGCATTTACGTTGTGCATGTCTATGGGCTCCAGTAACTACTTAACACCAGGTGGGCTGTGAGCTTGTGCACTCATCTAAGCAATAAAAAAAAAAGTCGTTGGTGCGATCCATCTTGTCAAAATCTGTACTGTAGTGTGTGCTCACCCAGAGCCGTCAGTCCTTCGGATATGGAGCACAGGATGTACAGGATCGGCTCCGGCTGCAGGTTCGCCAGGAAGCTCATGTGGTCCTGGGCCAGCCGCTCCAGCAGGACATAGTACGTCTGCGACAGCTTCGGGTAGTCCTGGAACGACATTGGACAAGATTGAGTGTGGGAGTTCAATTCCCTCCCTACTCCCCCGTAATACATTTTCATTATAAGTGTGTATCGGTCTCTTATGTATTCTTTTTTCCCTACCTAAGCTGATAGCCTTGAGAGACTATGTCAGCGTAACCCTAACGTGTTTGTAAGCTCTTGGAATTCAAACCAGGAGGTGTTACTAACACTAGCCCTAGCAAGAGCAGTGCTTTGCAGAATCTATCTACCACCGGATCGGAAATGCGACCCACTCAGAACTCAGTGAGTTGATTTTCTCGTCGAGGATGGTGACCGGTGCTTGAGGTTCTCCTATGGAGTAAAGCGGCTAGAGAGAAATCAGAATGGAGTAGGTTGGAGGAGGCTTTTGGCAACTGACAAACAGCCTTACAGTAAGTAATAAAGCACCAAATACATGAACAATTTTAATTTTGTAAAATATACATACATATATGAGTCGTCTATTATCAAAGGTGGCAATCTGTGCATTTGAACAAAAAAATGTTATTGGTATGTCAATACAGATTGGTTTGAATATAATCGTCTCCTTCAAAGAATACAGTTCAAAACCTGCATTAAATAAAGGTTAATACTTAACCTGTTATTTATCTAAGATGTCGTTCAGAAGAGTTTTGTGACTGCCAATGGAATACAAAGTCAATAATTCGTTTTTCTGATTTACCAATAATTGTCCAAAAGTCACATTGCCGGCTTTGATAATAGTCGACTCATATNTTGAATATAATCGTCTCCTTCAAAGAATACAGTTCAAAACCTGCATTAAATAAAGGTTAATACTTAACCTGTTATTTATCTAAGATGTCGTTCAGAAGAGTTTTGTGACTGCCAATGGAATACAAAGTCAATAATTCGTTTTTCTGATTTACCAATAATTGTCCAAAAGTCACATTGCCGGCTTTGATAATAGTCGACTCATATAACAGTGTGCAGTAGTATTAGTTATATAAAAAAAAAACTGACGAAGCGTGTTGCGGATAATAATATGTACTTTTAGGTTATTAAAATAATATTTTGTGTACATATTCGGAAATAAAATAAAGACTTATATTTCTTCTGAAATAATAAATATAAAAGAAATATAATTGTATATCTCTTTTCTGAATAAAAGGCTTAATGATTATTATTATATTATATCAGTCTCCATTACCTACAGTACAGAGAATCCTAATGGGAGACCAGATGACGGTGGAAGTTCTTATCCCAAATTATTGATTTATTAGTAGGCGATCAAATATTTATGTATCACCAATACTATGAGAATGAAGCATTGTTTATATAACCAAATATGCCATTGTTTATTTAATCAATGCCAACAGCTGTTACTTGTGTAGGTGATGTAGTAAATTTATTATTTAGTGCTCTAATAGATTTGTTATTGTAGAGCTATAGTAAATTTGTTGTTTAGTTCAAGTGGGTGATCTAGTAAGTTATGGTTAAGCCTAGACAAATAAACAAAAAGCATCATCGGTAAGCACAATGCGACGTACACTAACCAGTAGGTCGCTCTGCGGTATGCTCAGCAACAGCTTGACGAACATGTTCAACGCGTTGTCCAGTGCCTCGTCCCCGTACAACCTACAAATATTATTAGCATTTATAGCTACCAAAAATTGTTTCAATTTCAAGTCGTCGAACTTTATCAAATAAGTGCGCAAATGCGTATTTGTGTATGCAAGTATGAATTTGTGTATGCAAGTGCGTAATTGTGTATCCAAATGCGTATTTTTGTATGCAAAAGCCTGGGTAAAGGACCTTCGCTCTGTAACAAACTGGTCGTGGTTGAGAATTCCTTTGCTTTAGAGACCAAATACCTGAATACACCAAAGTTTGCGTAGTTCCCGCAGAGGGCCGCCTTCAGGATGGAGAAGCAGAGCGATATCCCCTTCAGCTTCAAGGCGTACAGCTGCTTCTTGTCCACTTCCACAGTCAGGATCCTGCTGCCTGTACAAACGATGAGCTGGATTAGACCCGGCGCGGACCGGAGCCCCCCCCCTCCCCTTTTTACACGCTTTATATTAGCTTCACTTGTACGTATGTAACTGACTCCTTCAGACGCGATTTTGACCCACTTTAAACGACCTGATTTCATTCAAACTTTGTAGATTTATTGAGGACCGATGACAATTCAATATAAAAACAATTAAAAAAATTGAAATTCAACCAAAAACGGTCAACACTACAATCAGACGGCGCAGTTCACCCCAAGGACGCCACGTACCATCCGGCTATGGAATGAGCTCCCCTCCACGGTGTTTCCCGAGCACTATGACTTGTCCTTTTCTTCAAACGAGGCTTGTGGAGAGTATTAAGCGGTAGGCAGCGGCTTGACTCTGCCCTTAGCATTGCTGAAGTCCATGGGCGACGGTAACCACTCACCATCTGGTGGGCCGTATGCTCGTCTGCCTACAAGGGCATGTGATAGACGTTCTCGAGTTCGAAACTAAATAGAAATAATTGTAAATTATCTTTTATAGTATGAGGTAGCGCCCTCTGTGAATTGATATTAAAACTTCACGTTTCATTTTTTCGTTTCATCGAGTTTCAAATCACATCACAACGATTCTAAAGAAGATTCACTACAAAAAAAAAAAAAACGCCCGGCAGACGGAGCCTTCGAGAGCCAATCGAAGGCTCTGGAAACGTCAGCCACACTCACCGTAGCCGCATATGATGTTGGACAGCTCGCGGAACAGCAGAATGCCGTTGGGCGAGCTGACGTCGAAGTGCAGGCGCTGGTTCCGGTTCTGCGCGAGCTCGGCCGTCAGCTTGAGCACCGGCGTCGTCACCGCCGGCTCCGGGTACCAGAGCTCGATGCCCCGGAGTAACACCTTCATGTACACCGGGTAACTGTCGAGTCAAACATAGCATGAGCTGGTGACGCGCACGGGTAGGTACCAGCGCTGGGCAAAATTTAATTGTAAGGTACAATTAATAATAATTTCTTTTTTTTATTGCCTAGATGTGTGGACGAGCTCACAACCCACCTGGTGTTAAGTGGTTACTGGAACCCATAGACATGTATAACGTAAATCCCGCCACCCACCTTGAGATATAAGTTCAAGATCTCAATATAATTACAACGGCTGCCCCACCCGCCCGTCTAAATATATGTAAAATTTTGTCATTGGTAAATATCATTTTTTATAGTATGAGGTAGCACCCTCTGTNTTTGTATCTTTTAATATGTATATATTATTATATGTAATGTTTACTGTATGCACTAGGTTTGTGTTCTTAATTCTTCTTTCCTTTTGCGGGCCTACTGGAAGAGATTTCAGCATGAAATAAGTAGTGCCCTTGTACTCTGTATCCTTATTGACGTGTCTTTTCTAACAGCTGTGTGTACAAAATATATTAAATAAATAAAATAAATAAACCCACCTGGTGTTAAGTGGTTACTGGAACCCATAGACATGTATAACGTAAATCCCGCCACCCACCTTGAGATATAAGTTCAAGATCTCAGTATAATTACAACGGCTGCCCCACTCGCCCGTCTAAATATATGTAAAATTTTGTCATTAGTAAATATCATTTTTTATAGTATGAGGTAGCGCTCTCAGTGAATTGATATTTTAACTTCACGTATAAACTTAAATTAAAATTCATTACATGAGGTTCCATACACACGTTAGTATTAAAAAATCTCATAGATGGCGTTGTATTAAAAAAACACTACGGACTTATTTTTTCGTTTCATCGAGTTTGAAATCACAACGATTCTAAAGAAGTTTCATTTCAATAAACTCACATCCAGTCAAAAAGCATCATGTACGTTGTCTTCGTGTTGAAGGCGAGCGTGAGCCCCCGGAGGTCCCTCGCGAGGCCGATCAGCGTCTTCTTGGCCTCCTCCGACGCGAACACCGCCCCGTCCAGCAGACCCACGATGCTCTCGAACGCGGCTGCCGGGGTACATCGCGCGCTTTCACTCAACCATCAAAACGACGGGATGACTTATGGTTTTCGCTACCTAATCATCGCCTACGGAACTAATTACGCGCGGACTGGCGACAGAGGCCGATTAGGAATTACTTTTCGGGAGAAAAAAAAACGGTTCGCGTGAAAGAAGTGAAACTTATTTTGCGGTGTATAGTGTAATCATTTTCTTCTGTCATTTTCTTTTATAATAGGTAATGCTGTGTTTAACAGATACGACCTAGCTCGCTTTGTCCTTTCCCTCTCTCCACGGTCGAGTGGTTCTGGTTCGCGAGACGCTATGTCAATTTTCTCTCTCTCGCTCTTCCTAAATTGTATCTATTCTCTCTAGCCGTAACGAATCTGTTGTGAATTAAATTTTACTCTCAACGCGCCTAAAGAAATTTCACTTCAATAATCTTTAACGCGTAGCCGTGGGTAGTAGCTCAAAAGTCATTGCTGCGCGGTACACTGCGCGCCGCATCACCGCACGGTACACTGCGAGCCGCGTCACTACACGTTACACTGCGCGCCGCATAGTACCAGTGAGCGGCATCATGAACGCGTGGAAGCGCTCCTCGTCCTCGCCCAGCTCCACCATGAGCAGGCGGCCCAGCGCCGTGTACAGCATGGTGCGGCACCGCATCTCCGACGTGCCCACGCCAGAGATACCGAGGAACGGGAAGTATTCGGCCTGGAAATGAGATTCGAACAGTACAATGCCGGTTCAGACTTGAAGGCAACTGTGGCGGGTAGCCATCATACAACGCAAGTTATCTGACAGATGCCTGAATCTCACTTACGACATTTTAAGATAAGCTTGCATATATACAAGTTCCGAACAACAACATTCGGTCTTGCTAGGGTTCGTGTTAGCAACGTCATCAGGTTTAAGCCCCGTGAGCTCACCCACTAGTAAAGGCGACGCTGATATAGCCTCTCAAGGCTATCAGCTTAGGTAGGAAAAAACAACATTCGGACCGTCGGTCTACCGAGCAATATCACCCGCTCGGTGGAAGATCTTCCCTTTGTCGTTCAGCATTCCACACAACCATGAAGGTTCCACAGGACGCCACAAATTAACAATTGACCTTCTTGCTTTCGCTTTATGTGCAAACTGAAATATGACGGTAGTTACCGATAATTTCATTGAACTCATTTTAGTTCCAGTTAAAAAGTGTGATTGTACAAAATAATAACAATAATCAAGGACAAGTCACACGTGGTCATCAGGTCCCAGAATTGGATATGTATATGATGTATGTATCAGCTTCACAGAGCGTATAGGTGAGCTCACAGGGTTCAGCCTGGCGAATTTGCTAACACTGGCCATAGCAAGAACCGTGCTTCGCAGAATCTACCACCGGATCGGAAACACGATCCGCTGAAAAGATCCGGCGAAAAAATGAGTGGGCTGTGTCTATGGGTTAGTTCGCTCGTCGAGCTCTTGGACGGACGGTAACCTGTGTTTGAGGATCCTAGAAGCACCCAGACTGAATCTGGAGGATTTGACAAGACACATTTCGGGCGACGACAACCGTTTACCATTTGGCCTACAAGATAAGATATGTAGTTACCGGCGGCCAGGATAAGAATGTTAATCTGTATATTTCGAGTTGAACCAAATTACACACAGTAAGCAAAGTTTCATTAAAATCGCTTCAGTAGTTTACAAGTTCATCGCGGACAAATAAAGCGACACGATTATTTTTTTGCTTAACTAGGTAGACGAGCTCATAGCCCACCTTGTGTTAATTAGTTACTGGAGCCCATGGAAATCTACGAAATTTTTACAAATCTCCTAGTACAGACTGTCGTAATGCGTCTACAGTTTGTCTATAAGCATGGTTACCGTGTGGTGCGTCAGCATGAACTGCACCTCGTCCAGCTTGACGAGTTTCCGGACGCACGAGTAGCCGGCGCTGAGGTCGCTGAGGAGGCCGAGGGTCTTGCCGATGATCTGCTCAGACCCGCCCCAGTATTTCAAGTTCGTAATGCTGCAATCAGAACATGACGTCACACCACGCTTCTTATTCTTTGTCTATTGAGGAGATCCGGAAGCGAGCTCAGGGGCCTTCTGATGTGATTTCGCGAAAAATACAGGACACGCTGTGTTACCTACCCGCGCGAGCTTATAGTGCGTCCTATAACCAGTAAATATTATAGTACATCGGTATATTACTCAGAGAAAGACGTTTCTTCTTGTCCGGGGAATCCCTCAGTCGCCTTACCGTGCCACCGGGGATAGACGGGGGGTGATATTCTAAGCAACCACGCAATTCGAATTACTGTAAAGCGTTAACATCAACTTATTTTAATGTTTCGTTCCAAACCGCTTCATGTTCTACATATAGCACAGCTAGTGCTGTATTTTAATTATCAATATCATATCGATAATATTAATCGACTATTAATCGCTTTACAGCTTTTTAAAATTATTAAGATTGTCGTATGAATTATTTCGATCGCTATAGTCGTCGCCCCCGACCGGTCCCCCGCGCCCCCCGTTCGGTCCCCCGCGTCCCCCGGGTCGATGCCCGCCCCCCGGGTCGGTCCACGCGTCCCCCGGGTTGGTCCCCGCGCCCCCCGGGGCACTCACATCTTCATGACGAGCACGCTGAGCAGCTGGCTCTCGTCGCTGAGGCCGAGCACCTCGCTGAGCCGGCGGTACACCTTGCTGTTCTTCTGGACCTGCTCCCCGACGTAGATCTTGCGGAAGTGCTCGAAGAACGACATCATGGCTAGCTCCAGCTTCTCGCAGCCTCCCTACGACGGGAAACCGGAATGTACCGACAAAAATAATAAACCACACTTGATGATGATATATGAGTATATGTATATACACAACTAGTACTACGACAGGAACTTTCCCTGGAGGGACAAAGGCCCCACCATAACCCGGTGACTGGTTGGATCTGGTGTTCGAACCGTCAACATTTATTGCCCTTTTAGGCCGACGAGCATACGGCACACCGGATGGTGAGTGGTTATCGGCGCCCATGGACTTTAGAAACGCCAGGGGCAGAGCCAAGACGCTGCCTACCGCTAAAGACTTTTCTATCACGAAGTAGTCCTTGCCTAATATGCAAGTCATCCGGTGCACTGAGTCGGTACAGGCGGGTGCACGTTGTTCTAAATCTAATGGAATACGTGCTTAACACGTATTTGTGATGAGGCAGAAAAAAATATGCAGTCCGTATTACAAAAGCAGTCATGACTCGACACAATTATAATACGATTTAGACCTCATGTTTCAAGGGGTGTGGCGGCGCGTCGTGTCATGTCTATGGATTCCAGTAATTAGCAAATTAAAAATACCTATATCAATAAGGAATCTCGTGGACCTGTAATGAAAGGTCAAAGCTGAATTTTGTGTTACATTGCTACATATTTTAGTAGCGATTCGTTGTGTTGTGTCGACGATCACTAATATTATACCACCCGTATCTTCTTTTTTTTGAGCTGACTCCAGTGCGAAGAATGGATGAATAAATGAAGGGCCGGGTGGAATATAATAAGTGATGTATATAAATGTGTGTGTGATATATGTGAAGGCTCTGTGTACTTGCGCGAGTCGCGAGTCGGTGAGGTCCATGAGCTGCAGCACGCGGCACACGAGCTCGCCGTCCATCGCGTCGTTCTCCTCGCACGTGTTCACGGACGCGCGGCCCCCGATGGCCGCCCCGATTATATACACCAGCCACGTCAGCTGACCTGCAACAACGCGGGTGGGGGGTAGGGATATTCCGATACTAGTAAACACGAGTATACAGGTATATATATAGGTACTCGATACTTTCGATTCGATAGATACCAAGTATTTTTTTATTATTGCTTAGATGGGTAGGCGAGCTCACAGCCCACCTGGTGTTAAGTGGATACTTGAGCCCATAGACATCTACAACGTAAATGCGCCGCCCACCTTGAGATATAAGTTCTAAGGTCTCAGTATAGTTACAACGGCTGCCCCACCCTTCCAGCCGAAACTGCTTCACGGCAGAAATAGACAGGGCGGTGGTACCTACCCGTGCGGACTCACAAGAGGTCCTACCAACAGTAATTACGCAAGTTACAATTTGCGGGTTTGATTTTTATTACACGATGTTATTCCTTCACCGTGGAAGTCAATCGTGAACATTTGTTGAGTATGTATTTCATTAGAAAAATTGGTACCCGCCTGCGGGATTCGAACACTGGTGCATCGCTACATACGAATGCATGACATCTCTATGGGGGCGGGGAGGGGGGAGTTGGTGGGGGGGCGGTTACCTTGCAGCACGAGCAGCTGCTGCGGCTGCGTCTCGTGCGCGTATGCGGCGGCGGCGCGGTCGAAGTGCGCCACGAGCAGCGCGCACGTCTTGCCGTACTCGCAGCGCCCGATGACGGACAACTGCTCGAGCTGTTGCTGCACGGTGCCGGCGTCGTCCAACGGGTCCTCCACGTTGTCCCTGCGCGTGCATACGGGGTGACTTTTTACTTATTTATTTTTTTATTGCTTAGATGGGTGGACGAGCCCACCTGGTGTTAAGTGCTTACTGGAGCCCATAGACATCTACAATGTAAGATCTCAGTATAGTTACAACGGCTGCCCTACCCTTCAGACCGAAACGCATTAGCGCTTCACGGCAGAAATAGGCAGAGCGGTGGTACCTACCCGCGCGGACTCACAAGATGTCCTACCACCAGTAAGTTGTGTGACATGAAAAGAGCGCGCCGTTAAAACGCGGCGTTAAGTACGCGTTCTGTCTGACGAAGCCTTTAGTCCTTCGATTACTTCGAGTGGGTGGGACGTACCTGACGACGCAGGAGACGGCGTCGAGGCGCGACCCGATGTAGGCGGCGGTGACGCCGGGCGCGTACGTCTCCAGCAGGTGGGGCTCCGTCGCCTTCACGTACGGCACCGACGCGACCATGCGCTGCCACAGCGACAGCAGGTAGTGCACCGAGTTGGGGGCGAACTGCCACATCTAGAACGTTCCATTGATCCGTGTTAACCAACCCCGAGTGTCGATGCACGGACATCGAGGATCGCATTCCCGATTCTGCGGACCGAATCGTGAACTGACGACGTCGCCCCAAACACGTCATTTCGGATCCTCCCGATCCACTAACGCTGCTTTAGGTACCTCAAGCATCATTCTTAACCCACAAATTAACTCGTAAATTAACCCACAGACACAGCCCACTGAGTTTCTAGCCGGATCTTCTCACGATCCGGTGATAGATTCTGCGAAGCACGGCTCTTGCTAGGCTTCATGTTAGCAACAACGTCAGGTTTCAGCACCGTGAGCTCACTTACTAGCCCCGTGACGCTGATTTTAAGTCCGCAGGATCGGGAGTGAAATCATTCTCTAAATACATCGCCACAATCAGCCGACACGCAATCCCACCACCGAGTCAGTCCTTAAATCAATTAATCATTGATTACGGGCAGTTTCATTAGTTAAATTATCAATTCTGGCAGTATTTTAATCACTTTATATCTGAATGGTGGAATCTTTAAATCATTGATACTGGTAATAAAATTGACTCTTAATAGAATTGGAAGGATTTGATGACCGGTACAAGTGAAATCACTCAGCATGGGTCGTAACGATCTTAAGATTCTAGTGGGGGTCCACGCGGGACTCTACCAGTAGGATGAGAGGACATGCTGGACCAACCCCACCTAATTTTCGATAGGAGCAAGATAAATAGAAATAATTTCTACTCAAAAGGATGAGTGGATTTAGTCTCACATCTAGTCTTTGGAAATATCACTTTTACCACTTTCAAACATGAAGCTTAAATCCCAAAGCCAAAAGTGTTAGACTTCAAGATATCTACTTTTTTTTTTTATTGCTTAGATGAGTGGATGAGCTCACAGTCCACCTGGTGTTAAGTGGTTACTGGAGCCCATAGACATCAACGTAAATGCGCCACCCACCTTGAGATATAAGTTCTAAGATCTCAAGTATAGTTACAACGGCTGCCCCACCCTTCAAACTGAAACGCATTAGTGCTTCACGGCAGAAATAGGCAGGGCGGTGGTACCTACCCGCGCGGACTCACAAGAGGTCCTACCACCAGTGAATTAATTAATTAAGTTAATACAGCAGGTCAGCAATATTGGTGCTGAAGACCGGTCACCCTGACCTGTAGACTCTGCACCGTGAACTTCGCTATGAGCTCGATGAGCCGGGGGTAGTTGTCGACCATGACCAGCTCCCCCAGCTGGTAGTTGGACTTGAGGCGGGCCAGCAGGCGGCAGAACTCGTGGTAGTTCGCCGGATCCGACAGACCCTGGATGAACATCAAATTACAGGGTTCTTATGGGCTCAAGGCAGATTCACAATACAGTTAAATGTCTTCGCATTCACTGACATATGTCCACGGGCTGCGGTAAACATATTATTATCACCGGCCGCCCTTGAACGCTGACGTCACTATACATAACGCGGGGTAATGTTCACCTGAGTGTTGTCGAGTATCCTGAGCACGCCGGCCGCGAGCCTGTTGAGGAACTTGGCGCGCTCGCTGTTGCTGAAGAGCGAGCGGCGCACGGAGGCGAGCTGCACGAGGCAGGCCAGCGCGAGGCTCGACATGGCGCCGCCCAGCTCGTGGTACAGCTCGAAGAACAGCTCTAGCGTAGTCGATTCCAGAAACGTCGGCCGCCACGACGTGGGGATCTGCCGGCGGGGGTTTATTAACATGTGATGATTTTTAATATTAATTAATCATCTTTGCCACTTTTGTTACCAGTTGCATTATTATCTATCTTTTAAAGTAAGATAAAATTATGTATTAATTTTGTTATAGTAGTCAAAATATAGGTAAACAAAACAAAACAAAAAAAATCTAAACTACGCTCTTTTGACAGTATTTCTGACAGAAAAATACTGGTGATAACAAATGATTCCGCATATTAACTCAATTTCTAATATTTTTGGAGATTGTACACTTTTAATGCGAAAAGACGATATTAGTTTTATGCGTCACCCAATTCTTTTCTTGTTGGGGCATAAAAAAAATTGGTTCCAGAAAAAAATCGATTTTTTTTAATCTTTGCTGATAGCCTTAAGTGGATATTTCAGCTTCTTGACGTGTGGATGAGCTCACGGCAGTCAAACCGGAGTGTTGCTGACACTGGCCCTAGCAAGAGCAGTGCTTCGCAGAATCTACCACTGGATCGGAAACGCGACCCACTGAGAAGATCCGGCGAGAAACTCAGTGGGCTGTGTCTGAGGGTTAATTCGCTCGTCGAGCCCTTCATCGCAAGCGACGGGTTCGACGAGGACGGTGACCGGTGCTTGTGGTGCCTAAAAGCGCCGTTAATGGATCGGGAGAATCCGTAACGACGTGTTTTGGGCGAGGTCGACTGTTTACCATTCGGTCTACAGGACCGGGTAGGTAGCATGGTAGCACTAAAGCACGTCAATACTTATTGAAAAACAAATTCTTTTACCATACGAGACCAGAAATGGTACTACTCGACTGGTTTTGTATATACATAACGAGCCCGCAATGTAACGCAAACGACATAAAAAATTGCTTTACACTGCGTGTACCCAAAAAAAGTTACGTAATATAGCAAATTTCGTTCAGCTTGCATTCGTCGTTTTAGAGATGACCAATTACGAACCGCCTTCTCGGCGGGTGAACGAGTCATGTACCGTACAAGGCATGCTCGCATTCACATCACTACTTTTACATCGCTTTACTCAAACCGTAGTATAAAGCGCCAGTACACGTCCAGCACTCATATACAGCGGAACTTACCACATCAACATACATAAGATAGAATTAGTTACTTGTTAGCGAAGTAGATAATCAACGGATATTCAAATTAAAATTCAAAATCATTTATTTCAACATAGATGTCAGTATAACACACTTGTTGAATGTCAAAATATAAATAACAATGTTAACTCTACCACCGATTCCAAAAAAAGCCACAGTCCTGAGAAGAACCGGCCAAACAAACCCAGCGGCCTTTTTGTTGTTCTTTCTCAAAAAAAAATTTTTTTTTAAATAAATAAATATATTTGCGATAAACGAAAGAACAAGTCAAAAAATACAATAAAAAAAAAATTAAAAAAAATTATGAAAAATGAAAAGGCCAGGAACGAACGCCTCATTCCCACGTAGTGCCATCACGTAGTGACACAATGGCCACTCCTTTGTTTTGTATCAAAATGGCAGAATTTATTCAAAATAATATTTGCACGTGTTGTTATCAACAATGTGTTAAAATTTTCACTTTAATAAGAATAGATGCCGAAAAGTTACAAAGTGTTAATTTCTGCCGTTCTCGTTAACTTGCTGCGGTGACATGTGGTGTAAGTGTTCAATTAGTGATTTTTTCTTTCATTTTTATCACTAACCCACAAAATGACAAAACTAAACACACTATCGATAACGCTTATCGACAACAATAATGCGCATCACTATGCCCGTCCATAAGGCTCGTGAGTGGAAGAGAGAGCGAAATACTCGCTTCACCGCTCCGATTTTTTATGACCCAAACTGCACGGACAAAATCATTCTACTATAGTAAATAATCCTTAACTTTATAATATGCCTTGTTGCACAAACGTTCCTTTTCGATTATTTTACTATCAGTGACTTTTTTCTATCTAAATCTCAAGTTGTGTACGCCACATTCAGCAACGCATACACCGGGGACCGAGTGTTATCCGGGGTCAATGTTGGTGGGGTCTGCTCACCTGCACGGTGCAGAGGTCGTCGGAGGCCTCGTCCCCCGAGGTCCCGATGAAGTCGAAGGCGAGACAGTTGTGCGCGAGCCGCAGCAGCGCTAGCACCAGGCTGTCGGCGCGCGACCCCCGCGCCGCCCCCACCAGCGAGCACGCCAGGCGGAATATCTCGAACAGCGTCGTGTCTCTACGCCGCACAAACACACACACATTTTATTTTTATATTATACTAGTGGTCCCGCAGTAGTGGAAATTCGACTATAATGTTAATTTAAATTGTGTGTTTAAACATTATTATGGTTCTATTGTCAAATACTATTATATTTCTATAATATAATCACAGATTTCGCCAAAAGTTACACTATAGATTAATAACATTAAAGACAAACAATATTAATCTATTCGAAATTTGACCACAGACTTTAAAGATTAACAAAACTTTGACAATTGACAATAAACAAAGAATATAATTATATGTATGTGTGTGTGTCAAATACATGGTGGTAGTCTGTAATGTTTTCTTTATTGATTTAATGTATGTTTTATGCACAATTTAAAAAAAATATTAGCACTCTGCACTCCTTCTCTATATTCTCTATAAGTGTGGGAAATTTCATACTCCTCTTCTTCTCCATCGTCATGAATGTTGCTTAAATGGGTGGACGAGCTCACGGCCCACCTGCTGTTAAGTGGTTACTACAGCCCATATACGTCTACAACGTAAATGCCGCCACCCACCTTGAGATAAGAATTCTAAGGTCGACGTTCCTAGAGTCCACGAAGCTGAAAGTCTTGAGAGACCATTCCAGCGTAGCCTTAACTAGTAGGTGAGCTCACGGGACTCAAACCTGACGACGTTGCTAACACGAACCCTAGCAAGAGCAGTGTTTCGCAGAATCTACCGCCGGATCGGAAACGCGACCTACTAAGATAATTCGGCGAGAAACTCAGTGGGCTGTGTCTGAGAGTTAATTTACTCGTCGAGCCCTCGGTGCTTGTGGTTTCTAAAAGCACCGTTAGTAGATCGGGAGGATCCGATATGACGTGGATTCTCGCCGGATCCTCTCAGTGGGTCGCGATTCGGATCCGCTTTTAGATTCAGCGGAGCACTGCTTTTGCTAGGGCTAGTGTTGACAAATTCTCCCAGGTCGAGCCCCTGAGCTCANATTGAGATACTTTGTAACAGGTTACTTACGTAACTGATTACAGCGAGTACTTATTGTAATCAGTTATAAAGTAATTCGATTATAAGTTAATCTAATTACATTAACTGTAACAGATTACTTATGTATTTGAAACAAGTTACTTATAATTACTGATAATTGATCACATAACTATTCTGTTATGTTATGTTAGGTAACCTTATAAAAAATGTCCTACTAATAACTTTTTTGACAAACACAAAAATGAAACACATTTTATATACTTTTTTTATAATCTTTTATCATTTTACGTTATTTTCTTTAAATTAATCATTGGCAGATTAAATTAAATAACATTATTTTGCTGATTTATAATTTAAATTACTTTTAATATGACTCTTTTTTTCAAACATTTCGTCTGACAGGCGGTTGGTTGGCTTTCGGACAATTAATCATAGTAGCGTACGAAAACAAAAAAAAGTCAAAAAGAAAAAGCAAACTCGTCCCCCACTCCGCACACCTTCCTGTCTAGTTCACGATGAAGTGAACCTTACCTATTTATGTTTGTTGAAGTACATAAAACCTACCTATCTAAAAAATCGATGTATGATATATATAAATATGAGTTTTTAATTACAAGTGTTATATCCAAAGTAATTACGATTTATGATGTAATTGATTACTATGTAATTAGGTTAGATTGTAATTTAGTTATATTGCAATTAAATACATAGTATTCAATTACTTTCACATCAAAAGTAACTCTAATTACAATGTAACTGATTACTATATAATCAGATTACATTGTAATTAAATTCTTTTGTAGTTTAATTACTAATTAGATTACAAAAGTAACTAGTTACGCCCATCACTGCCGTTAGTAGATCGGGAGGATCCGACATGACGTGGATTCTCGCCGGATCCTCTCAGTGGGTCGCGATTCGGATCCGCTTTTACATTCAGCGGAGCACTGCTTTTGCACTGTTAACAAATTCTCCCAGGTCGAGCCCCTGAGCTCACCGGGCTGCTGCTGGGCTAGCTTCCAGTCCCTTAGACCACCAGCAATTTTTTTTTATTGCCCCAGCAAGCAGACGAGCATACGGCCCACCTGACGATGAGTGGTTACCGTCGCCCATGGACTTCAGCAATGCCAGGGGCAGAGCCAAGTCGCTGCCTACCGCTAAAACGTGATACATATCGACGCTTGAAAGGCAAACGTGACTAAGCGACAATCCGTGAACTTTACAGTAGACTAATTAATTTAAAGTTGAAATACCTGAAATAACCATTCTATTTTAACGAATCTAGCTGTAGGGTTGAAATGATTTTAATAGACCTAAAAATATATTTTTTTTTGCGCATCGAATATGGTTATTGCCTATCATTTATGTACAAAGCACTTATTGTCGCTTAGTCGCGTTTGCCTTTCAAGCGTCGATGTATATATTCGTTACCTGAACGAGGAGGCAATCTTCCTGTGCTTGGCCAGCGACCGGTTCGCGTCCGCCTCCGACACCTGGTTCATCTCCACCACCAGCTGCGACAGTAGCTGCACCCCCACCGTGCACAGCTCTTGGCTCTGTACCGACGACCATGGAAAAAGCACGAACCAATCAGTAAACCGGTGGTGGGGCGTGGTATGAGCCCGCCTGGATAAGCACCACCAACCTGCCCATTTCTGCCGTGAAGCAGTAATGCGTTTCGGTTTGAAGGGCGAAGCAGCCGTTGTAACTGTACTTGAGACCTTAGAACTTATATCTCAAGGTGGGTGGCGCATTTACGTTGTAGATGTCTATGGGCTCCGGTAACCACTTAACACCAGGTGGGATTTGAGCTCGTCCACCCAACTAAGCAATAAAAAAAACGTGGTCGATGTCTATGGGCTCCGGTGACCACTTAACACGAAAGGAATCATAACCTAACTTGGTAAAAACATAAAAGTAACACACTGTATACAGAAATTGTCTTAATCAACATTCACGGATTCCATTGTCTTCCAAATTTAACAAATATTTTTAAAATTGCTATCATTTTTAAATTACATTTTTTAAGGGATTTTATGACCTGGTAACTAAGATTTTTAGGTCAAATCTTAATTTAATTTATATTCTTATTTTTATGAAAAATGATAATATGAAGTTAAAAGAAATGAAACGAAATGAAATGAAATGAGATGAAATGATATGAAATGTAATCTCAGTAAAATGGTGGTCATTTACTGAGACTTTTTCAGTGGACTTTTTGGAGGAACCCTAGAAGTTACGTCCAGCGGCTTTGTTTCATTGTCCCACATTTGTGCACTTTCACAGATATTAAACAGTTAATAAACCACCGTTATTACACATTTAAACCTGAAGAAACACTAAACAGACAAAATTAAATAAATCACACAACTTCACTCCTCGCGTTCCCGCCAAAAGGTCCTTTAATGACATTTATCACGCAACTTAAAACTACCCGAGAATTGAAATAGAAGTGATTTATCCGACATATGCAACGCAAGCTAACAGGAGTTCCACGGGCGAGTTCCACTAACCCTGAGAAAGCTCGTTATGTCGTTGACGACGTTGTGGAAGACGTACTCCTCCTTGACCATGTCCAGCCAGCTGAGTTTCGTGATCTTTGAGTACAGGGTCACTAGGGCCTGGGAACAAACAGTTTTAACACATTCTAGAAGCATTTAAGCATTGTAGGTTCGACCAAATCCGCACCACTCTGGATACCACCAACTTTTCTTTTTTTTCACAATCCTCCGATATGAGGAATGCGACTCAGGGAGAGGTGAAACTCATTTATTACATCTTGCTTTTATTCCCTCCTACCCATTCGCTGATGGCGATTCTTCGATCTCTTAGATTACTCCAGCTACACTATGCCTCATAATTGAGGTGTAACAAGGGCCTACCATCGGATTTGCAGAATCTATCACCGGATCGGAATCGCGACCCACTGAGACGATCCGGCGAGAAACTCATTGGGCTGTGTCTATGGACCTGTTCGTCGAGCTATTCGTCGGAGTCTGCGAGTTCTACGAGGACGGTAACCGGTGCTTGAGAGACCTAAAAGCACCCAGAGTAAATCTGGCTGATCCGACAAGACATTTATCGGGCGATGGCAGTTTTGGGTTGTCCCGTCGTCTGGGTCGGGTGTGATATCTCTTAGCACCGAAGCACGGGAGGAAACAACACACAGTCTTTCTGGACTAGCGCGTTAGGGCGTGAAGCACGTGTATACAGTAACATGAAACATTACTTTACTTATTACACTTGCATGTATTTACTTGGCAGATTTAATGCCTAAGACATTCTCTATCAGTGGACCAAAAAGGTAGTGCAAAGTACATAAATATGGCTTTTAGATTGAAATATAATTTAAACACACATATATAATATGTAATATTGGTAAGAAGGAAACGTATGAAAAGTTTGTGGAACGGAGTGTTACGACGTGATTGAGAGAAAACGGTAAGAGAGGGAAAAGAGAATTACAGAGAAGAGCGTAAAAAGAAGTGTTAATTAAATTTTAATTACTATAATAAAGAAGATTTTTTAAAACAACAATAAAAATGCAACAATGGAATATTTTTATTTTATGCGCCACAATCCTAAATCTACATTATATAATATTTAAGACGCGAAAAAGTATTAAACAAAATGCCCGTTCGGAAAATGTTAATAAGACATTCGACAACCCTAGGACAAATTCTTCAGTGTCGATACGAGAACATCAAAAACATACAGGGTGTGTTAAAATCGTATTTAAGAATTGTTTTTGGAAGAACTTGCAGTTTACGAAACGCGATTGAACTTGACAATCCTACCCAAAAAAAACAGCAATTTACCTGTACAACGAAATTAGCCAATTTCGGCCTTGTCGCGAGGTAGTTAAGTACATAATTCCTTATATCCAAACGCTGCTGGATGGTAAGGCTGGCCGTCGACCTGGAAACAATATAGGGAAGTCAACCATGAAGTCTTAATAATTATTCAATTATTAAATAAAACAGATTTCATTAACTGACTCACTCGGTGGTAGGTAATACTTAGCGGTATGTTTGTCAGTGTCTAGAACCGTAGATTGGGGGGAATCGGAACCCTTTCCAAATCCAACACAAATTTTGAATGGTTTTTCTAAGGGTATGTAATACAAATAAAGTTGAGATTAAAATTGTTCCGGAGACTTAAATTTTTATATACGATGCGTTATTATACATAGTTCATTATAAAATAACTAGCTGGACCGAATTCACCTTAGCTTTGCGGTGAATCAAGTTACGTATGGGGACAATAGAGTTTTTCGATAGGGCTGGTACTATTTAGTTGTTAGGTGGGTACCTAACTTTAGGCAATTAACTTTTTAATATCTTTAATGAGTTACATAACTTTGATGACTAAATTAAACTATTCTCTTTAATATTCTTAAGCACTAAATAAAAGTAATTTTCAGTTCAACGAAGTTAAATCTAACGATTCAACAAAAGTATTGTTACTATCGCAAATTTGTCCCTATTTTAACTCTAGTCTCTATTCCCCCCAATCTACTAAACTGCAGGATACTTCGTCCCAATATGAACATAAGCCAAAAATTAGCCGCGATATAAAAATCGATTTGTATATTCCCCATAGACTCCAAAGCGGCTGGACATATTTCGATAAAATTTTGACGAAATCTTCATATAGGTCTGGATCAAAGGTCGGCCGGAAAAGCCGGGTCCTCGTAGCTGGATATTGTAAGTTGGAAGCCAGCTTACGTACCGACGTACCGTCCGGTCCAGTACCATGAACACGAAACAAAAGGCTTCCGGATGAAAAACCCCAGATACCGAAAATACTTTACTTTGGTAGGACCTCATGTCCGCACGGGTAGGTACCACCACCCCGTCTAATTCTGCCGTGAAGCAGTAATGCGTTTCGGCTTGAAGGGTGGGGCAGCCGTTGTAACTATACTGAGATCTTAGAACTTATATCTCAAGATGGGTGGCGCATTTGCGTTGTAAATGTCTAAAACCCACCTACAGATGATCTAAGAAGATTGGAAACCAGTTCAACATACGATAGTGATTAAACCTACCTGCTTATAAGTTTTCCAAGTGTGGTGGCTGCCAACAGTTGTGAATAGCTCGATTCGCCCCGCTCTAGTAACATTTGACATTTGCTCAATGTATCCGGAGACTCCTGGGAAAATATAAAAGATAAATTGTTTTTTTTCCTACTTTTTCTAGTAACATCGAGGGGTTATTCTAGATTCGCCGAGCTTGTAGGTGAGCTCACGGGGCTCAAACCTGACGACGTTGCTAACACGAACCCTAGCGAGAGCCGTGCTTCGCAGAATCTACCACCGGTTCGGAAACGCGACCCACTGAGAAGATCCGACGAGAAACTCAGTGGGCTGTGTCTGTGGGTTAATTTACTCGTCGAGCCCTTCGTCGCAAGCGACGGGTTCGACGAGAACGATGACCGATGCTTGAGGTACCTAAAAGCACCGTTAGTGGATCGGGAGGATCCGAAATGACGTGTTTGGGGCGACTTCGACTGCTTTCCATTCGGTCCGCAGGATCGGGAATGATAAATTCGTACAAAATATATGAACACGCTTTTATAGACCGACTCGGTGTTACGTTAGCGGCTCTGACTGTCGTTTCGTGGGTTATGGGTTCGACTCTCGCATCCAGCAAACCTTGTGTGATGAACAGATTTATTTGAGCTTTTACTTTTTCTGGATGTTTATTATCTATATATGTATAATTATATATATATTTAAGCGTATATAAATATGTTATCTCTATACTCTTTGGTACCTATAACACAGGGAATCCTAACTTGGGTCCGTATAACCGTGCCTAATTTGTTCCCATTTATTTATTTATGCTAGTGGTCCCGCAGTAATCGAAATTCGACTATAATTAATAGAAATTTTATGTTTAAACATTAATATGGTTCTATTGTCAAATACTATTTTACTTCTATAATATAATCACAGATTTCGCCGAAACTACACTATAGATAAATAATAATAAAGACAAACAATATTAATTTATTCTCAATTTGACCACAGACTTTAAACAATAACGGAAGTTAGACACAATCGACAATAAACAAAAAGTATATTTATGTGTATGTGTTGTGTCAAATACACGGTAATGTGTGTAATGTTTTATTAATTGATTTAATGTTTTTTTTATGCATAATTAAAAAAAGAATTAACACTCTTTGTATTCTCTATAAGTGTGAGAAGTTTCATACTCCTCCGCAATTTTCGTAATAAGGGGTACAAAGTTTCTGCTTCACGTATTAATATATTAAAACCTGGATAAGCGAGAGTTCAGCACACAGAGCACAATCTCATTCTCGCTTATAGAGGTTTCTCCCTAACCCGAGTTTTTCGCTAATGCTCCCTCTGAATTCAAACGCATTCCCTATTTTAAGTTTATCACTTAATGACAGTACTTTAATTTTCCGTTTTTACATGATGCAGAACAGAACTTTCCTTCGCAATTGATTAACATAAACTAAGTAAGTCCGACAAACAGGACGGTACACAGGCACACGTGTCCATTCGAAAAGAATGCGATAAAATAACAACGTTATTTAGTTCCACGAAATAGAATAGGTTCAATATTGACGAGAAAACAATACAAAAACAATGGTAGGAAGTTCCCCGAAAGTTAAGAATGAGTCAGGAAATAGCAGATGTTAAATTTGTAGTTTGTTTTGTCATTTGTTCCTCCTAAATAATATAAATAAATAAAGCTCGACTGTCGCTTATAGAGGTATAGATAAGTAGCAGTCTCACTTACGGAGGTCCATGAGGGAGAAACGACTCTCTCTTACAGAGGTTTCTGTTTCTCGCTAATAGAGGTTTTGGGCGCTTAAAATGACGGGTCCTTGCTATTACTCTCACTTATAGAGTTTTCTCACTTATCCAGTTCTCGCTTATCCAGGTTTGACTGTATATAGATTATTAAAATTTGTCTAATGATCCTGGTCATGGTAAGATAAGATCCTGATCAGGACATTAGGTCTAAGTAACGAAATCATCACATTATCATTGGTCCTTGATGCATGTACAAATTTTCAATTGGACATTAAATTTAAAGATTTCCGTATACAAATATATATGATAAATACATATTTATAACACACACCATAAGTAAACATGAGCGTTCACCTACTGAGCACCAGAGCTAACATAGTTCAAATAACATGGAACTTTGAACAAGATTCAGGTGAGTGTCTTACAGAAATAAAATATAGTTTAAAAAAAACTAAAAAAATACGATTTTATAGAAAATCCAACAAAAAAATACAACATAAATTTGAATTAAAAATAGCAGTAGCATGGTATCAGTAGTTATAAATATTTTATGAACAGATATGAGTAGAAGGGTTGTTTTGATAATCAAGGGCGGATCTAGCTTTGGCGCCAGGAGGGGGTCACATAGTCAAATTTAGATGCGTTCGTTCCCAAGCGCTTGCCATTATACAAAGTTATTATATTATTATATTAAATTAATTAAATATTGAAGGTATGTAGTTACATAAAATCTGTATGGTGACAAAATATATAAATAAAATCATTATATTCAATTAGTGGTCCACCTAAGTCCTGGAACCAGCTCAGGGGGTGGTCATGACCCCCATGACCCCCCCCCCCCTGGATCCGCCATTGTTGATAATATCCTGAAAAGCACCCCACGATTTTTTATACAATAAAATCCTTTTTCTTACACTATTTTTAATTCAAGTTTATTAAAATTTATTATCAATTTTTTAGTTGCATTTCCATTTCTTTATATTTTTTAAATATTGAATTGCCATCGGTCCTTTTATTAATTTATTATTATACTTATTATTATTATTTTTATTATACTTATTGTATGCCAAATTTCGAGTTAATCCGACGTTTTGAAGGGGGTCAAAATCATGTTCAAAGATTCCATTACATACTAACATACATAAGTCTGAAGCTAATAAAAGCGTATTAAAAAAAGGATTTTAGGTATTTGAAAATTGAAATTTTAGTTTAGATGTTTATAATATTGTACTGAAACCTAAAACCCGAGGAGGCTTGACCATAGGCAAGCATTCAGTTGTTTAACTCATGCCAAATCCCTATACAGCATAATAAAAATACTGCCCCGACCCCACCTAATGTGAGATTAGGGCAAAAAGAAGTACAGCTCCTACAGCAGCGGTAGGGGAACTTTTTTAATTATTACCCCAAAATATTTTTGTGTAAATTGATAATAGTCCATGGCAAAGACCAAAAAAAAAAAACAAATCGCTTCTTTTTAGCATCTTTCATATTATATATCACCCCCATGATAATTTTGAAAAGAAAACAATAACTAAAAATTTGACGAAAGCAGTTTCACTTCAATATATATTTTTAATTCACAGAAGTTTCATTTTTACCCGCCTCAAAATTTCATTTAACCCCATTTTGGGGTAATTTACCCCAGTTCCCCGACCACTGTCCTACAGCATCAATGGCAATGTTGATAGCGCTCACCTTTTTTTTTATTTCTTATAAGGGTGGACGAGCTCACAGCCCGCCTGGTGTTAAGTGGTTACTGGGGCTCATAGACATCTACAACGTAAATGCGCCACCCACCTTGAGATATAAGTTCTAAGGTCTCAAGTATAGTTACAAGTATAGTAATAGTCACCTGAAAAGCAACGACAGCCTTCTCTGCCTGCTCCCGGAGCGCTGGGTCCGGGGACTCGTACAACTGTTTGCATAGCAGCTCTATCTGAATCACCTCCTGAAACAGACACCAGATCAGTTGCGATAACAGTTGTAACCCGGCAAATCATATTAACATTAAACTATTAAAGCAGACAAAAACGGGGTTGACAACCTAACTTTTTTTTTTTATACATATTGGGCTCCAACGCCTTTGGCATTGATTTTGCCAATGTCAAAGTATTTACAAAAATGACAGGTGCTTAGAGAGGGAAAAAATTACTAAATCTAAATACAAATAAATTTGGTCAGTTTTTCCATACGCGAATCTGTGGTTTTAAGAGCAACTCAAACAAATATATGTTAGTCTAACTACTTTAGAGATAAATGTTATTAGCAGATAAAAATTTACATAGAATATTTACATGTTTAGAATAGACTAAAGTTAATAAACAATTAATAGGCCCGGGAATGTCATTGGGAAGGATATCATAAAGAAGGGATACGATATTGGGACAGTCGAAGAAAACCTAACAATTATGTTTTTGCATAATTTAATATACTCATACTAATATTTTAAACTGATATTTTGAAGTCTCTAGAATGACATGGGCTACATTTTATCCTGAAACAACATCTCATACATCAAATATATTTGAGTAAGCTCAATATAACTGAGTGTGCTTTTTTGTAAAGCAATTTAATAATAAAATCAAAACATCAAACACAAAAAGTGCAATTGGAGGTTTTATGTCTTCCAAACAACCAGGATACATTATTCATATGAAGGGATGAAAGGTTATCCGGTTTAAGGGACATTTCTTTAAATAAGCAACATTTATCTTTGTAATTAAAGGTCAGTTTTAATCGGTATTAGCATTAACAGTTTGATGTTTTTAATTGAACTTCAATAAACTTTACCTCGTGGGAATAACTGAACAAGTTTTTTTTTTCATTTTGATATTCTCTCAATTTTTAAACTTTACAGAGCTCTCCTGCATTCTCAAAAAGCTGCAAAAATGTTACTTAAACCAAATAGCCCTTTATTCCTTGATATAATGAAACATGTTAATCATTGTGTACTTACAATTAAAAAAAAAATATATAATATATTATTATACACATTAAAATAGTTAATAATATACATAGTAAATTTAATACTTTATATGGCTAGAAGAATATAAGATCCTTCAAATTTGCCATATTTAAAATCTCAACATAGGCCTAATCTTATTTCAGTCTAGATTTTTTAGGAATCGGGTAATCAATTGCCTGACCTTTTACCCACAAAATATTCAGATTCCGGTTATCTTCATACATCACCTGCATGAATCATGATTGAGTGTCACAATCATAGTGTGTGATGCAGATTACCTCCTCCATACAGAATCATCAACTGCAGTTGTCAATCCGATTCACCTTATGGAAATACTCCCTAATCTCAAAATGCCGTAAAAGGGACCCCAAGCCACATCTTAGCCCATGAACTCTAAGATAATGCTTCATAACATGGTATATTTGATTTTAAAGTAGTGCCTGTACATCACAGACTTTTCTCATTAAAGTTCCTTTTACACTCAAGCCAACTAAGTCAATTAGTTAATCTGCTGCCTTTGTTATGTTAAAATGTCATTAAAAGTTGATTAAATTCTTTCCAAATTTTATTTCATTAATTTCGTAGTATGTAAAGAATTACAGTATTATGGTTCTCGAGCAGAAAATAATAGCAACTATAAAGACTTAGCTAAGGACTGGATTAATTCGCCTTTGCTTCTAATGGTTAAAAACTAAGAAATGTTCTTATTTGATAACTATATTTACATATAAAGCCTTTTTAAAGCTAACACACTACGACGAATAAGCAATTATGATTTATTTGAAATGTAGTATTGCTTCAAGTGGTTCTTGAAGCAAGACATTCTAGCCTATGGTCACCCACTACTAATGTGGCTTTATATTGGACTGAGAACTAACATTATTCATATTTTTAATTTATATTAGAATACAAAGTGTCCTTTTTTTTCTAAAGCTGCATTAAAACTTTCTTTTATAAGTTTTACTTTTAATTTTATTAAGAAAAAAACCTAATTTAATATCGTGTCTAGTAAAATTACTTTGAGAGAAATAAATTTAAATCTTTATAATTGGAAAAGTATAACTCGTAGGTAATTTGGCGAAAATTAAAAAATATTAGAAACAATGTCAGGGTTTTGACACAATAACATAACGCGATATAACCAAAAAGCCGGTGCAAATAAGTCAACATCTTTCGGCTATTATGTTACAGTATTCATACTCGAATCCTGCCGGTAATTCACTGAATATTATGAAATAAATTACTAAAGTTTGACCTATCGCGATGTCATTACCGTGGAAAATAAACAATTAAATTACGTGTTAAGTGAGACAGGACTCGGGAAATCTTTAAGTTACTCGTTACAAATGCTATTTTGATACGTTTAAGTCTAATAAACATGTCTAATTCATTTAAAATCGTACAAAATTCGTAATATTTTGATTCTCACCTGTTCTTCAGCCATCTTTGTTATTTTCACACATTGAAATGACGTTTTGTTTTATCAACTGAAAAAACATGGTTGATAGCTAGTGCTAAAATAAGACGAGTTTTCGCCTGAAAACGATTTATAATTTGATTTATTCATGAAATCAATTAAAACCCCCGAAATATTTTTTTTATCATGGAATTCTACTTAAAAATTTAGATAGTGAAATGAAAGTGCAGATAGATCAATTCAGCATGAACTAAAAGTTAATTATTCGTTTTCAGTTTACTTCCGTACATTTTAATAATGCAAAGATCACAACAGTATTATTAGCCGTAATTTGTGCATTATAATCGTTATAATCATATTAATACAAAAATTACATTTATGTAAATTAAGTGAAATAATTACTGGTCACCCTGCGTCCAGGCACAGGTATTGCCCATACATTCCGATTCCTTTATATTTTCTCTTTAATAATAGTAGTGGATGAATCATTGGTAATGTTTTTGTTTTAGACAGCCTATACAAAATGTGTAGGTTTTACGTAGATTGCCTTTAGCCGAGCGATGTAAACATGCCGGATAATCGGAGTCAATCGCACAATATGCGTCTGGGTAGGCTACAGTTAAAGGGCTAACGTTAACCAGTGTAATATTCTAAGAGCTGTTACCTGTCGCTTCTCACGAGTATTAAAGGAAAAGTGACAATTTTTTGCTTATGTGTCACTTAATTTTTCTAAAGACAATAAGTTTTCAGTTTCTCGCGGGAATGAGATGTTGTTTTGGGATATTCTATGTCAATCTTCTGACCTAAGGCTATCACTTTAAATTTGTTTAATGTCAATCGGTTGGTCCTTTGGACGTAAAAGCAGTCAAAATAAACTTTCACATTTAAAATAATAATGGAAGGCCCATACCTCTGCATTATTGGTCATAGAATGAAGGAATATCTTAACATTTCATAATATATATTTTTTTGGAATGTTGTATCTTAGAACGACCCGCGGCAGGAAATATTGGTTAATAAAACAAACTTTGGGTTCTTTAGTCAATCTACGGAGGCATTAATCTCGAAAATCTCAAAAAAAAAATGTCGCAAGAACACCATTCCCTGTGCCGAAACAACTTGTAAACTACCAATCGAATACGAACGAAAGACTATTTAACATTAATTTATATGTTGATTAGATAATATTTGTTGTTTTAGGACAACTACAAGCTATTCTGTGTCAAGCATCACACTATCTCTTTCCGTTATTATCACAAAAAGAAACTAAAAAAAGGGCAGCGGCATTCTCTGAATATTGTACCAGGACACTGCTATTGCCAACCATACTGCAGTCACCGGGGGTGGCCACCTCCTACGTGGATGGGAGTCGGACGTAGTCCGTCCGACAATTCGTCCAATATGCGGCTGACATGAAGATTTTAATTTCAATTAAACCTTTTTATTAACGAAATCATAAAACTGGCCGCAAATGCTATTTCTAATCTAGAAATAAAGAAGTTTAATTTTGAAGTAACCTAAAGCGAATTATAAGAAAAGGAATGTGACAAATTAATAGTTTTCAAAAATAAAAAAAATCATATACCTATACAAAAAGAAAATGAAAATGTAGTTTTCAACTGAAGTTACACCCATCACTTCTAGTTTCGATACAAAATGTGGACCGCCGCGGTGAGGACGGTAAATAAAGCGAACCCGGCGGCATTTCTATTTCGTACTTCACTCGCCGACTGCAATACACACGGTAAAATTGCCAAAAGTAGGTACATATCTGACTATGATTATTTGTTGTTTGTAAATTTTAATTTAATAAGATTTAAGTCGGCGTGGCCTAAAGGATAAGACGTCCGGTGCATTCGTGTGTAGCGATGCACCGGTGTTCGAATCCCGCAGGCGGGTGGCAATTTTTCTAATGAAATACGTACTCAACAAATGTTCACGATTGACTTCCACAGTGACGGAATAACACTGTGTAATAAAAATGAAACCCGCAAAATTATAATTTGTGTAATTACTGGTGGGTAGCACCTCTTGTGAGTCCGCACGGGTAGGTACCACCACCCCGCCTATTTCTGCTGTGAAGCAGTAATGCGTTTCGGTTTGAAGGGTGGGGCAGCCGTTGTAACTATACTGAGACCTTAGAACTCATATCTCAAGGTGGGTGACGCGTTTACGTTGTAGATGTCTATGGGCTCCAGTAACCAGGTGGGCTGTAAGCTCGTTTACTCATCTAAGCAATACTTAGTGCGAGTTTTTTGCAAGGTGCCCCTAGCGGCAAACGTCCCTCGCTGTTCCAACTCCATATAAATTTGAGTTAACGTTAACGCGATCGAGAAGTTAGAAAACTCGCATTAAACACACAGCACTTTTCTATCTTTAGTGGTACCCGCTTTTCGTAGACAAATATGATTTCGGTCTCATGTAAGCGAGTAATGTTAGAGTGTAAAGATAAGTTCGGAGATTGAGCTATTGCTAAGGCTAGTGTTAGCAAATTCGTGTGGCAATGTTGAGCCCGTGAGCTCACTTCGTCGTCCGCGCGCTGGCTAGAATAGCAGCGAATAAGCAGGCAAAAAAAACCTGAATGTACCTTCGAGTGAAGAACGCCCGATTAGAAACATATTAAGGGTTCCATTAAGGGGGAGAGTGATGGGACAGATGTGCTCCGCACTAAGCGCTTCCCTTTGTCCCCTCTGCCTTTTCATGAGTTCTGTCTCTTTTTTTTATTGCCCTTGTAGGCAGACGAGCACACGGCCCACCTGATGGTGAGTGGTTACCATCGCCCATGGACTTCAGCAAAGCCAAGCCGCTGCCTACCGCTTAATACTCTCCACAAGCCTCGTTTGAAGAAGGACATGTCATAGCGCTCGGGAAACACCGTGGAGGGAGCTCATTCCATAGCCGTATGGTACGTGGCAAAAAAGACCTCTGGAAACGCACTGTGGATGACCGCAGTGGCTCCAGGTAGTATGGATGAACTCTACTCCGGTGGCGGGCGGTGCGATGGTAAAAACGAGATGAAAGTATCATCTCGAACAATTCCTCAGAGCACTTCCTATGGAACATACGGTACAAAATACAGAGGGTACCGAAGTCATGCGAGGTGTGGATGCTGGTTGTTGAGTGAGAGGAGGTTTAGTCGGTTCGACTCCGACATGTCCCGCCCTCCACCCCCCGTGGAGGGCGGAAGTCCGGTGATTTCTCCCTGACAAAATAAAAAAAAATCTATTAAATCAGCCTATCGTCGTTGTCAAACCAAAATATTTTTACTCGTATTATTCACAGCCCTATCTACCGTATAACAAAAAACTGTTATATAGCTTTAATATTTTATCTGTAGCTTTCATTTGATACAGTTTTTAAAAATTCACCCTCATATAAAATTTTATACTCGAAAATGTTTTTACTCGTTAATTCTAAATAGAGTTTTTGCACATAACAGATTTTGGTTTGACAGCGACGCTATACTACCTTCGAATCTGCCAAATCGGTTACACCGTCCATACCAGTAGTCAAATTGGTTTTAGGTATTGCGATTTTGCAAAGCAAACTACAAAAGAGCACAAAGAGCGGATCCGAAGACGAGGCTAAATGCGCTAAATGTAAGAAAATAATCGATTTAGTATTCGGTCCCAATAAGCCGATAGTACACGAAGATTCCAAAGATGCACATGTTTTCAACAAAGCCAGCGATAAATCCAAAGATCTTGCTTTATCGAGATTAAGTGCCGATGAAAATAGTTGTGTTAAATGCGAGAAGATAATTGATGAGATCTTTGGTAAAGACGCAAAGTGGGATGATAAGTACATGCTGGGGAATGCTACGCGCTTGCCTAATGAGGACCTAACGATTTTACCTAAGGACAACAATATCGGAATACGTTTAGACAATACTGATGCGAAAAACGTTGGAGAGAAATTAAAAGAAGCCGCCATTTGTTTGGCTGTTAACGATAAATCTAGACAGAAGAGCTCGCTCGGAGATGGAAAAGATGTATCAAACCAAAAGATTGAAGTCTTAAAGGAATCGAAATTGTTTCCTTTAGCGACTACAGAACAAAAACATTCGGATGATAAACGTGAGCTTTTGCGTGATAATACCAAGGTAGGCTTTTCGAAGAAAGGTCAACAGGGGCCTGAAACTGATGTACAAACGACTTTAGATGAAATAGCCGAGAAATGCCTCAATAATCCTGTTAATGAAATCGATAGGAGATTAATACATGAGATGAAGCAATTGGGAGTACCTCAGGCCTCTAATCGCAGAGCACTAGGGAATGGCTTGGCTGAGATAGACGAGCTAAAGAAACCGAAAAAGACTGTTGAAAAGACTGAAATAGATCTAGAGAGTCGTGAGTTTGAGAAGGAAGTTGAAAAACTCCACCCTCCCTTTAGTATGATTAGGGAGGAACCAACTTATAGATTTCAAATGGACGACCAAGACTTTGCTTACAATGAAATTGGACCTAACCACAATGTCAGTAAATCGGGTGATATAGATACACAGAAAGTTGGAAAACCTTCAGACGTAGATAGTAAACAGTCATTTTTCTCAAGTAATCGTGTGGAAGGCATTGACGAAGAGCCGGCAATAGGTCGCGCTGATGAAGATCGAAATGACGAAGTAAAAATGATAAAGGCGAGACTGTTTCCGTCTTTCGAGGCCAGAGAGGAAGTTAATGGACCAGAAATCGTAACTGAAGAAGATGTGACGCATTCTTTCGAGCCTAATTTAAATTATGACCAATTAAATATAAGAGTTGCTGAAGGACACGGTAAAGAGGAACAGACAGTACCAGACGAACATCAGACAGAAGGAAACGCAAGCTTACACGATGAAGAGAATCTGGATAAACAAATTTTACTCGATAAGGTGTCAGATAAAATTAGGAATGATTCAATAGACATTACAAATCCAATGAATGCCAACATATCAGCTGCTTTGGGACCACTCCCCAAATTAAAGCCTGACGGAGAGGTGTCCTTGTCAGAGCTGATGAAGAGGGTGCGGGAGAGGAATCGCATGGAATACTGTCGCGAATTTGGACTTCAAAATCTCAGGATGTCCACTATAGCAGCGGAGACTGTTAAAGGTGAGTGCGGAAAGAAGACTCCTGTATGTCCGCCTCCAGCCCCGAAGTGTCCTCCCCCTTGCCCTCCTCCGCCCCCACCTTGTCCGCCCCCTCCCCCGCCGTGCCCTAAGCCCTGCAAGCCTGTCTGTCCGCCTCCCTGTCCGCCAAAGAAGAAAAATCCGTGCGATAAATTCAAAAAATGCCAATCGTTCTTCATCAAAGACGCACTGAAGTTGAATCCGAACGCTGACACTCCCACTATCTACTGTCCACTATTCTTATACGCTATGGTAGTTAGTACTGATATAATGAAGTCGTCAAGAAACGGTTACAGCCGCGGAGCTGGTCTTCATTTAAGTCCAAAGTATAACCCAGACTTAAATATGAGCCTCAATGAGGACGCCGGCCATCCTGTAAGTCCTGATAGGTTATTGGCTCGAAATTTTGACCCCTGGGTACCGATACCGTCATGGACCGAATTGAAGAGGGAGAAGAAACAGCCTGTCGTCTGTCCTAAAGATGGCTGCAAGCAGACGCCACCTCCCAAACTAACCGACCCGTGCCCCAAAGGAAATCCATGCCTGAACTTTCCAATTCGACCGAACTTTTCGATTGCTAGTTTATTTTATCACGTTTTATTTGGAAGTATTTTGACGCATCACTCTTGGTTGACAACTGAATAAAGATTTGTGATGAAATTTGTGTCTTTTTATTGGTTGACTTACTCGTAGGGAATCGCATAAGTATGAAGGGACTAGCAAATAGCACACCCACTGTACTCAATTTTTCGGCACACTTCGCTCCATTTCTAGCTGCCACATTAATATCACACTACTTATTACCCTAGTGCGTTTCTTAGTGGGTCGCGTTTCCGATCCGGTGGTAGATTCTGCGAAGCACTGCTTTTGTTAAGGTTAGTGTTAGCAACATCGTCAGGTTTGAGCCCCGTGAGCTCACATACTTGTAAGGTTGCGCTGACATAGCCTCTCAAGGCTATGAACTTAGGTAGAAAAAAAAAGAACTGTTCCGGTGGCGGAAGGTAAAAAAGAGAAGCGATTATTTTCAAAATTCTACAGAGCATTCCTCATGGAAGATACGGTACATCACACAAAGCCCCTCCGTAGACCCAGAGGTTCCTATTGATGCTTGAGAATCTTGATTCCCCATATTTTTCAGCCGCCGAGTTTTGTGAGCACTCTGATGAAATACTTCTGTCTTTTTTTTATTGCCCTTGTAGGCAGACGAGCATACGGCCCACCTGATGGTGAGTGGTTACCGTCGCCCATGGACTTCAGCAATGCCAGGGGCAGAGCCAAGCCGCTGCCTACAAAATCGCTGCTGTCTTAATATAATAGTGCTGTTTCAAAAAATGTATCACGTATTATTTAAAAACATTAAAATGATATTGTCTGCTTACTGGCTTACGGAATTATCGACTTAAAAACAATTGTGTTGAACTTAAAACTATTTTTAAAATCATTTATAAATTACTGGCCGGTAGTCTTTGTGCTGTTAGACTAAAATAAAGGCCTAGTGCTTATAGCTGTCGACAGCGCCATCTAATAAATAAAAACTGAAAACTTCAGCACTGAAACTTGTTTTGAACAAGGCAGAGTTTTAAATAGCGACATCTAGCATAATTAAGCAAAATAATTTACTGTCTGATTTCTTAATTAGTGTTGTTGAGTATCACTAGATGGCACTCACTAGGCCTCAGTTCAATCAAAATAGTCATAAGCTGAATGGCATAAAATATGAATAATCATTTTCCAATTTTATTTAAAAAAAATAACACATAAATCAAATTTATTTAAAAATAATAATAATAAACATTTATTTCAAGCATAACTTACACAAATTAAAACAATAACAGAAAAAGAAAAAGAAAACGTCGATGGTTGGAAAAGGTTACCGACTTCGCAACGCAACTTAACTTTAGTGACTTTTTTGGGTATAAATATTTTATTTTATTTACATAAATCAAAATGCAAGGTAGTTTAATAACCTAAAAGTACATATTATTATCCGCAACACGCTTCGTCAGGTATAATAACTATTAATATAGGTGTAATACCTAATAACTTTGCGATATATTAAGTGTTTTTTTTATTACTCTTGTAGGCAGACGAGCATACGGCCCACCTGATGGTGAGTGGTTACCGTCGCCCATTGGACTTCAGCAATACCAGGGGCAGAGCCAAGTCGCTGCCTACCCCTTAATACTCTCCACAAGCGCTGTATTGATCTACGTATGCGATCAATCATACTTTAGTGTAACAATAATATTTTGTTTTACAAACGTAAAAAGAGAACATCTTCTCTATACGACAGGAATATCTTCAAAGTTCTTTATTTTGGTCAAAACTAAATGCCTGTTAGCGTCGATATATTATATTAATTATAATATCGTGGTAATATATCGATGCCTGTTAGCCTGTTACATTAAAAATTTTGAAGTCGTCGTGGCCTAACGGATAAGACGTCCGGTGCATTCGTGTTGAGCGATGTACCGGTGCTCGAATCTCAGGCGGGTACCAATTTTTCTAATGAAATACGTACTCAACAAATGTTCACGATTGATTTCCACGGTGAAGGAATAACATCGTGTAATAAAAATCAGACCCGCAAAATTATAATTTGCGTAATTACTGGTGGTAGGACCTCTTGTGAGTCCGCACGGGTAGGTACCACCACCCTGCCTATTTCTGCCGTGAAGCAGTAATACGTTTCGGTTTGAAAGGTGGGGCAGCCGTTGTAACTATACCTGAGACCTTAGAACTTATATCTCAAGGTGGGTGGCGCATTTACGTTGTGGATGTCTATGGGCTCCAGTAACCACTTAACACCAGGTGGGCTGTGAGCTCGTCCACCCATCTAAGCAATAGTGTCGAATGAAAAATTGCATGTTGCTCACAGTAATATGGGGCGCAATCAATATGACTACAATACGATACTCGTGATGAAACGAATGTTTATTCATCACCGGCCGATGATGTGTTATTTAGTTATTGAAATTAACAACCACGTTCAACGAATAAAGGAATTCACCGAGCCCGTATCAAAACAAGGAAAAAATATCGTTTAGAGAAATATGTTGCGTTAGAATTATCATGTGCCGGTTCGGATTACGACATACCTACCTACCTATGCGATTATTTTCATATCGCAATGGTCGCAATTCATAAAGTCGTGAAACTAGTACCTAAGTCGTGAAATAATTTATAAGTCTTTACAAATAATTTAAACAACACTCCTTTGTCAATATTCACACATTAATGAAGGACATAAGAATCGTTTTTAGATAAATTTAGTTTAATCATAGGTACCTACTCCGATAAAATTTCTTATTATTTTTATTAGTCTGTTCATGGAACTATATAATCATATTAAGTGTATTTATAGGTTATATGATTTAAATGAATTCGAGGGGAAAGGTTATTGGTTTGGTTTATGTGACATTTCGCTTAATAAGTTACGTTTTATTTTTGTGAATAAAGGTGCGTTTTATCTGATACTAGCTGACCCGGCAGACTTCGTAGTGCCTCAATCGATAAATAAAAGACCTAAACTTTTGTATAAAATAAACAGAAAACAAACAAAACTGTTATTTTTATTTAATTCCGAGCATTTTCACATTTATCTACCTTTTAAACCTTCTCTGGACTTCCACAAATAATTTAAGACCAATATTAGCCAAATCGGTCCAGCCGCTCTCGAGTTTTAGCGAGACTAACGAACAGCAATTCATTTATATACATAGAGATATGCATCGACATTTGTTTTTAATTGCACTTCAATTAAGTTTACTTCATTCAAATAGTCGATCTCTCAATCAATGGCTCTTAAATAAAAAGTTACAAAAATGTCGCTCAAACCAAACAGCCTGTCATTCCTCGAAATGATCCTAACATTATGTAGGTATCTATTTTCAATTCATAGAGCACTTTCTCGATTCTGAAATACTTTTTTTTGTTTGGCGGACCCAGCCTTCTAGACGAATCGAAGGCTCTGGACGTCGGCCGTCAAGGCGATGCCGCTCGCCTTCTGTGTGCTTAGTGCGAGTTTCTTAACGTTCTCGATAGCGTGAAAGTTAGCCCAATTTTGTATGCAGTTGAAACAGCGCCCCTAGCGGCAAATGTACGCAAACGATCCCATTCCATACAAATATGAATTAACTTTTACGCTATCGAGAACGTTAAAAATCTTGTACTTAGCACACTGATATACCTCGCTAGGCCAGAATCAGCCTGCCAGGTCCGGAGTGTTACCTACGTCACCAACAAAACGCGTCACTCCTTGGCCGCGCTAGAGTGATGATGACAAGGCGCCGCGCAGCCTCGGTCCTCCACCAAACCTCGACCTTTACCAAATATTTTTTATAGCCCACCTGGTGTTAAGTGGTTAGAGGATCCCAAAGACATCAACAACGTAAATGCGCCACCCACCTCGAAACATGAGTTCTAAGGTCTCAAATATAGTTACAACGGCTGCCCCGCCCTTCAAACCGAAACGCATTACCTACTGCTTCACAGCAGAGTCCGTGCGGACTCACAAGACTTGCTATCAGCAGTGAAATAATCTGCCAATTTTTTTTTCTTAAAGTCCTTGTCTATTTGCCGATAGCCTAAAGAGGTATTCCAGTTTCGCGCGGATGGGTGCCAAATAGAAAAATTAACTTGAAAAAATATGTCTTTGTTTTTTTTTACCACTAAAGCGCCCCCCTGGGGCTTGTCGATTGAGCCAGCTCTCCACTTCCCCTATGGTATATTTAAATGTTAATCTTAATACGCATAATTCTTCTGCACATGTGTATGTTAGTGAATATAGATAGATATGAATATTATATGGATTCGAGAATGGTTTAAAATCACAATTCGGTCTACTACAAAAATTTTTTTATTAAAAATTATTAAAATTATTATATACCTAATAAAAGTTTGAAATTTTCAGACGTATGTTCAGGGCAATTTCTATCGGATCCTCTAGTTAGTGTAGTAAAAACTCGCTATCCACGCTTCTTTCATTGACGTTTTCACTATTTGCTGATAAAAAAATCGACCTAATTCCTATATTCGCGGTTAAACATTCCTTTGTTCGCGTACATAGAAATTGATAAAAAGGATTCCAATATATACTTAGGTATCCAACCGAAAAAATGTTCATATATTTTTTTTTCTTATTTTGTCACCGTATTCCTAACGCTTTAGTGGCCATCACCGCCCCGCCTATTTCTGTTGTGAAGCAATAATGCGTTTCGGTTCCAAGGGTTATGCAGCTGTTGCACTATTAAAATTGAGACATTAGACCTCATGTATCGAATTGTGTGGCGGCATTTACGTTATAGATGTCTATGGACTCCAGTAACCACTTAACTCGTGGCCGTGAGCTCATCTACCCGTCTAAACAATAAAAAAAAAACACATTGCGGGTTTGATTTTAGTTCTGCGATGTTATTCCTTCGTAGCATAAATGCGTAGCGTATTTATACGCGTATTCAATTAGAACAATGCGCACCCGCTAACGGGAATCCAGAATCGACTTTTGTTTTTTCCCTACCTTAGCTGGATGGTCTTGAGAGATCATTTCAGCGTAGCCTTAACAAATAGGGAGCTCACGGGACTCAAACCAGACGACGTTGCTAACACTAACCCTAGCAAGAGCAGTGCTTTGCAGAATCTACCACCGATCGGAAACGCGACTCACTGAGAAGATCCGGCTAGAAACTCAGTGGGCTGTGTCTGTGGGTTAATTTACTGGCCGAGCCCTTCGTCGCAAGTGACGGGTTCGACGAGAACGATGACCGGTGCTTAAGGTACCTAAAAGCACCGTTAGTGGATCGGGAGGAACCGTAATGACGTGTTTAAGGCGACGTCTACTGTTTACCATTTGGTCCGTAGGATCGAGAATGTGTAACCGACACAGTCGCGCTCATAATTACGTAAGCGAACATAAAAACTAAGGAATATCGTTAGAGGGAATCACCTAGCTAGACTGTACATTATCATTATTATCATGCATTATTTATAATGCTAAAGTGTTTACAAGCATACTTATTTGTAAGACAAGGAAAATACGTGACGGTGAAAAAGCGCGGGCTGTTTAATCTGTTTGCAGAAAATGTTGCGATAAAGGAAAATAATAATAATAATAAATAAGCGTAATTTTTTGCAATTTTACAGGAGAGTCAAAATAAAAAATAAAAACTATTGCATATATGGAATGACGAGCCCATCTTGTATTAAGTGGTTACTGGAGCCCATAGACATATCTACAACGTAAATGCCGCCACCCACCTTGAGACATGAGCTCTAAGGTCTCAGTATAGTTACAACTGCTGGCCCACCCTTCAAACCGAAACGCATTACTGCTTCACGGCAGAAATAGGCAGGATGGTGGTACCTATGCCATGCGGACTCATAAGACGTCCTACTACCAGTTAAAGCTTAAAAATTTAGAAAATATCATAACGAAAACAAACTTGTTCAGCTATGCCGCGTTTTAACCGAAATGTTTCTTAAATCAAATAGTCTTTTACTCGTCGATATTTAAAAAATAACGATAGTTTAAGAACTAGAAAGCACATATCAATAGCACAAACCAAATATCAGATGTTTATAACGTGATTTTTGCTTTGTATGAGACGGAATTTTTAAATGTTATTTTGATTGACTCCAATACGCCAGATTGACTTGTCAATTCGCACACGCGTCAAGGACCGATAAAATACATTAAAATATTATTAAAACTTCGCTCTAACATCCTGACCGGCAACTAGAGGTTATGAATTAAAATTAATTAATTGTTAATTCGGATTGTTAGTTAAAGGTGCTTTAGTTTATAGATATTCTTTTCAATATATTATTAAAGGGGAAATTAATAAAATTGTATCTCATATCTCATTACCTTAAAAGATTTCGTCTTAAAGATTCTATCTCACTTTATTTAACCATGATAGTTCCTTTTGTATTATTTATGAAGCGACGTGCAAGACGTCATGTTAATATACGATACAATGGACATTTCGACCTCACGCCTTAAAGTGGATAGGTCTTACTTTGTGATGTCTGTAGGCTCTGAGACTCACTTACCCTTGTGCATAATTGAGCAAAAAAAAAAAACAATTGACATAAGACTTCACTCGTTCCCGCCAATTTTGCTTTCTAAACAAATTTGCAACTTCTTTGCCATAGTTATAATAATTATGTACACATAATTCTTTGTTTTATCCAGTAGGTACTCAAATTTTGAACGTTGAAAACCTACATTCATGTATTATATCTATTTGATAGTTTTAAATCAATGTATTATTTATTTCACTTCCATTTGAATCGCTGCCCGGCTTGCTCGAAGACAACCCGTGAAATATATTCGCCTACATTTACATTTTATTTACGATTGTAATTTATTTACTGTGTTTTGAGAATTCCTAATAAAATCGCTTCACGTGCCTTCCGGAATCGATTTGCGACTCTGAACTTTACCTCAGTACCTTTAAATTTCATTTTAGATCGAGTCGAACATTGTGTTAAAATGTATTAGTGTCACGTGCCTTTCGCGTCGTATATAATAAATATTGTTATAATCCCGTACGATCTACACATTTTCGCATCGACATTAACCCAACGAAAACCACAATGGTGTTCTATCGAAAGGGGAACTCAAGCCGTATCTCCTCCCGCATTAGACGTAAAAAGCTAACCCCCCCCCCCCCATTATCCTCTTCAGCCAATCAATACCCTGAGCCAGGAAGTTCAAGTGCCAGTCATCCTGGATGCAGCGATGACATTCCGCCCACCTTTTTTTATTTATTGCCATTGTAGACAGACGAGCATACGGCCCACCTGATGGTGAGCGGTTACCGTCGCCGATGGACTTCAGCAATGCTAGGGGCAGGGCCAAGCCGCTGCCTACGGCTTACCGAACCCTAGCACATATAAACCCCACATATAAAATTAGTCCGCGACCGTGCCGCGTTTATTCTAGGCAGACTCTACTTTCCCATTTCGATAAAGCCGCACGACACGAGAACGCTCTGGTGGCCGCCGGTAACTACATCTAGCCGATCTTGCGGACCAAATGGTAAACAGTCGACGTCGCCCAAAGCACGTCATCTCGGATCCTCCCGATCCACTAATGGTGCTTTCCGGTACCTCAAGCACCGGTCATCGTTCTCGTCGAACTCGTCGCTTGTGATGGAGGGCTCGGCGAGCAAATTAACCCACAGACACAGCCCACTGAGTTTCTCGCCGGATCTTCTCAGTGGATCGCGATTCCAATCCGCTGGTAGATTCTGCGAAGCACGGCTCTTGCTAGAGTTCGTGTTAGCAACATCGTCAGGTTTGAGCCCCGTGAGCTCAACTACTGGCCCGGCGACGTTGATATGGTCTCTCTAGAGTACTATAGACCATCAGCTTAAGTATGTAGAAAAAAAAGCATACTCTACCCCATGATCTGTAAACGGAGTAAAACTTTTTTTATTGCTTAGTTGGGTGGACGAGGTCATAGCCCACCTGGTGTTGTTAAGTGGTTACTGGAGCCCATATACATCTACAACGTAAATGTGCCACCCACCTTGAGATATCAGCTCTAAGGTCTCAGTATAGTTACAACGGCTGCCCCACCCTTCAAACCGAAACGCATTACTGCTTCACGGCAGAAATAGGCGGGGCGGTGGTACCTACCCGTGCGGACTCACAAGAGGTCTTACCATCAGTAAATAGTGTTATATTCGCTCGTTTACTAATTGAACCGATAATGTTTTTGAATCTTTAACTATCTGTTACCCGCGACTTCGCCTGCGCGATTAAGGATAAAATACCAGTGTACTTTCTCGTGAGAGCGAGATATTTGTTCGGAATAAAAGGTAGCCTACGTCACTCTCTCACTAACACTCTCCATGAGCCTCGTTCGAAGAAGGACAAGCCGTAGCGCTCGGGAGACACCGTGAAGGGGAGTTCTGTCTAAAGCATGGATGGTATGTGGCAGAAAAGATCTCTTGAAACGCACTGTGAATGACCACAGTGGTTCCCTGCGGTAGGGATGCTGCATACGGTATAGAGCGCGGAGAGAACCGAACTCCCACCGTAGACCAAGAGATTCCCAAGGATCCACCCCAAATTGTTCCTTTTACCGAATGAGTTACACGCCGGATCTTCTCAGTGGGTCCCGATTCTGAGCCAGTGGTAGACTCAGCGAAGCATTGCTCTTGCTAGGGCCAGTGTGAGCAAATTCACACCGAGCCCGTGGGCTAGCTACCAGCGATTAGGTAGGGAAAAGAATGTTCCTTTTTCCTCCTAATTTTACTGTAGGGAAACCTCAAACTGGTGTGAGTCCCTTTTTCGCGAAGGTACTCTACATGCAGACAGCTTTTGATCTCCCGCTCTAATGGGATAAGAGTAGATGAAGAGGTGAGCTCACAGGGCTCAAATTGGGAGTATTGCTAACACCGGTCCTAGCAAGAGCAGCGCTTCGCAGAATCTACCACCGGATCGGAGATCCATAGAAACTTCTTTATTTCTAAGGAAACATTTATTTTAGCAATAAGTTATATTGCCCTTAAATAGCAGAAGGCTGCCAAAAGCATATATCAATTGAAAGAATATTAAGTATCTTCAACGCTCTTCACATCACTAAAATCGCGTATTAAAAATGCTTTGTTGAATAAATGAGTAAAAATTATTCGCAAATATTCACGATAAGTGATTTTCCTGTAAAGATTCCTCGCGTGTTATCTCATACTTGAGAATTTACAACGTAACTTTATGACTGTTTTTGTATATATAGAGCACAGCGTCGGCCATATTTACAGTGCATTTCCCGCCAAGAAGGACTACACAGGTGGGTCAAACAATAATAATTGTCTATGGTATTATTGCTTTTTAATCTGTATTATTGTGTTTTTTAAAATAAAAAAGGTAATTTTAATTAGTTACATGCATAACAGTACTATGCCGTCAATTCATTTTTAAATTTATTTAAAAAATGTAAGTTATTATAATATGTATTGTGTTTTTAATGGTAATGTTAAAATATATACTTTTTTTTTAAATCTTGAAAAAATATGAAATGCATTTTTCATACGCGTTTAGTATACATATATGGGCAGTTGTGGCATTATAGTAATGGACGTCTTTACATATTTTGCTGACAAAATACAAATATCCATTTGTTCGAAAAGAAGTCGTTAAAATTTGAACTAATATAATTTTAATCGTATTGAAAAATAACAAATAGATTATCTACAGAAAAGGTATGATATCTTATACCTTTAAACAAGCAATTCTTGTATATTAATATATACTTATATAATCTGAATCTCAGAAACGGCTCCAATGATTTTCATAAAATTTAGTATACAGGGGATTTCGGGGGCGATAAATCGATCTATAGTCGGATTTTTTATTAGACGAAGTAAACTGACGTTTACTGTGTTGTCAGTTTTTGATGAAATAAAAATAGTGTTGTGACAATGTGAACGATTGAAAAAACTCCTGAATTATTGAAATTGCCTCGATTGTCTAGTGAATAGTTAGTGTGCCGAACTGCCGATATCGGGCACGGGGTTCGAATTTTAGCCGTGCTTTGTACATACCAACGAGTTTTCGACGAAACATTATGTTCCTATGGTATCTACCTGTACTGAATACCGAGTGTTTTAAACATTAAGAAAAACATTGCGAGGAAGCTTGTAAGACTGTCCTATTTCCAATGCATCATATAGTTGAAACTATAGATGTATAAAATATAACAATTATAGGTACATAGGTAATGAAAATAAAAAAAACTGATTGTAGTTACATACTACTAGTAACATATTATTATATTGGATCACTTTAATACAATTTTATTGTAAAATATAAATAATATTCTTTTATAGTTTGAAATTAATGATTAACTCTTCACACTCATTGTTCATTTATGTGATTGAACGAGAACTGAACGCATCACTATTACTTTAAATATAGCAACATTATTTCACAAAGTGACATTAGCTACTGTCAGCTGGCTTCGTCTAATTAAAAATCCGACTATAGCTACGATTTATTTTCGGAAAATGTTGTTTTATTCGTGTTTTCAATAATCAACTCTTCCCGACATCTATTGGCGAATAATAATACTATGTTTCTTAATTGAGGGCAACTAACCGCTTTAAAGACACAACAAGATGGCGTTATCAAAAAAAAACCGTCATCATCTAGTATTAAATTAAAAACAGAAATTCTTTCGTCTTCAATGGCGCAAAAAAAATGAAACATAAAAACATTAAAATTTGTGTTTCAGATTGCGAAGTTTTCTAAGTTTCAGAATCAAAATGAATTCCTGGACGTTATTAGTTTTGGGAACATGTGTTATTTACAGTGAGTATAAACTTTATTCTTTCATAATTTGTTTTTGAAATGTGTATTTTGTGAAGAAATTCCCTAAAGCGATAGAAGTAGACTGATAAAAAACGAACCAAGCTCTTCTTGGTGATGAACAAATGTGACCTTTATTTTGAATGAAATAAAGTCTAACCTACGAACCACTTTTTAGTGTATATGACATTTTTAAATCTCAGCTTTAATATAGTTAACGTTGAAATTAAAATCAAATATAATTTGGTATAGTGGTACTTTAATAATTCGGATTCGATTTTTTAAAATTTACAATTCACTATTCAGTATCGAAATGTTGTATTGAAAGATTTTTTATTATTAAGGATACGTGTTTGATAGTTCCGAAGTTCTTTCGGTAATTTTTTTTTTAAATTCCAAATTTACCAGTGCCATGAAACTGCGATAATTTAAGACAAATATCTTTCCTGTATGGAAACTAGCGACATCTTGTAGCGGATGCCCTTATACTTAAATGTTATTAAAGTTAAGGCATTTAATTATTGTGTAACACAGAAAAAAATAAAAAAAAATCATACAAGTCTTTATTTGTTATAGACAAATTGATTAAATGTTATCAATTGGTCGTTTCTGAAAATTTACAAAATCCTGAATTAAAAATATAACATAGGATAGGTAATTTGTTACCGCCATCAATAGGAGCAATGAACAACTAATCGAAGCGAAGCCATCTAGTGACCGACGCCCGTAAACATTTTTATTGAGTGCTTGAGTTGCTATCGATAACTAATTTATGTGTATTATCTATGCAAAGTACTCTAGCATTGTCTATTCGCCGAACGACATCAAAGGCATAGATAATTTATAAGATAATACCATTGAGGGTAGAAAGAAGTATGGGGGGCCGTCTTGTTAATAGATTATACACTTAATATATTTGAGGTCTTGTTAAAGGTGACAGGTTGAAAAAGTCTCCACCAGTAAAAAGAGAGTTGTTGTTGGAAGACTTATCGAAATAGCGCTAGTGTACGAAGTAGAAATGATTGATTTTAAGCAGAGTGAAGTATGCTATACTAAAAAACCTAATATTTTCCGTTACTTGCGTAGTTAAAAAATATGCAGTGTTTAAAATCTCAACTTTTTATTTTTATGAATATTTATGTACGGAATGTTTTTTGATCTTAATTTAATATCCTAGTCTAATATTTTATGGCGCTGTTTTTATAAATCCTTCCACTTGCTACTGTGGCGCCATCTTAATACACTTTTTAATACATTAGGCTGGTCCTCCTTACTTTTACCCTCCATAGATAGTACTTAATATACAAGACCACAGATACTGTAAGATAGTACTTTAAATGTTTTTTTTTGTTTTTATAATTAAGCTACGGGGCAGCCCGTTAATTCCGGAGACAAGGTTCCCGTTCTCAAGGAGGCACCGGCCGAGGTATTGTTCAGAGAGGGACAGGCCACGAGGCTGGAGTGCGCCACAGAGGGAGACGACAGTGGTGTCGAGTGAGTATACTAAACTGTGTGCTTAGTGCGAGTTTTTTAACTTTCTCGATAGCGTAAAAGTTAACTCATGTTTTTATGGAGTTGGAATGTTTGCTTACGTTTGCCGCTGGGGGCGCTGTTCAAATTGCTTACAAATTTGAGCTAACTTTTACGCTATCGAGAACGTTAAAAAATGTGAGTCGTTACGAGACGCCTGGCAGATGTGAAACATCGACTTTATTTTGTAAAAGTAATATGCAAAAGAGAACAGACTGTGATAGGAACTACATATGTCATAATGATAAAATAAAATATTACGAAAAAAGAATTTGTTTTCAAGTAAAACACAGGTTATTTGTACTGTAGTAAACAGCACTGTATACACTACTACTACACTTCACTACAGGTATACGAGCTCGGTGTAGCGAGAAAGATGGCTTAACGCCGGATCGAGTGGCAGAGAATCGCACAGTCGATTGCGCATGGCGACGCGTCGCCACGCCAGAAATCGGTTTTACGTGCGGCTATAGATGTTTCACATCAAAAACTCGGACTAAGCACAGTGTTCTTGTTACAATAACATTACAAAATATCCTTTTTAGTTTATTCGAAATAATATCGAGCGGTAAAGGGTTATTTAATTTAAGCGACATTTCACTTAAAACGCGACATTTATCTTTGTGATTAAAGGTGCTTTTTATTTGGTGTTAGCGCCAACAGCTCGATGCTATAAATTCAATTAAGTAGATTAGACTCACCCAATCGTCACTCCGCACAATATATTATCCAAATTTTAAGCTTTAAGTGACTCAGGTAAAGTTACAAAAACTTTGTTTTAAACAAATAGTTTTTCACACCTCGATATGAAAACAAACAATATTCGTTTTCAAGTTATTTCGTTTTGATGTCTTTCACTTATGTACCTTATTTCTTCAAGTCACGTCTACGGCGCTATCCACACTAAGCCTGACACTCTACGATTTTCAGATACTCGTGGCGAAAAGACGGCATGCATTTTAGCGTCGGTCAAGACACGCTCACCAGTATCGACGCTGGCTCTCTTGTGTTCAGCCAAACCAAAGCTTCGGACGAAGGCGAGTACCAGTGCTTCGCCAAAAGCGACTTTGGGGTCGCCAGCACAAGGGCTACTAAGCTCCGCCGTACGTACATAGAGACTCCTGCATTTGAGGAGAAAAAAGTGACGGTGGTCGAAGGAAAACCCTTTGAACTCCGCTGTCCAGTGCCCGGGGGCTACCCGAAGCCGACCATAAGCTGGATGAGACATCATGACGAGGACGGCTCCACTGAGAACTTCATGGACAGAAGAGCGACTTATTCACCCGAGGGAACCCTGTACTTTTCCAATGCGAGTCTTGACGATGCCAACGATAAAACCAAGCTGGTCTGCATGGCCTCTTCTCCTGCCGCCGACGAGGGTGTGCCCCTAGTCGCGTATTACATCACGCAAGTGACTCCCGCCTCGGAGTCCACGTATGGAGAGCTGATCCCTCAGTACTTGAGTGACCACGTGGTGGCGAAAGTTGGCGATCTGACGTATCTATACTGCATTTATGGCGGAACGTGAGTGATATTGTTTTTTCTGTGTTATCTTGATTTTTTTTAAGACTCCCAAACGCCAGATTGACATTTCAATTCGCACACACGTGTCAATGACCGATGACATTACAATATAATATGACAGGTGTCTATAAGATATGAAATCAATTAATTGTTAGTTCGATTTGCAATTTAAGCGTGTGTTTGTTATATTAATGGTCCTGCGATAGTTGAAATTCGACTATAATCAATTGAAATTATAAGTTTGTACACTATTATGATTCTATTGTTTAAGCTTGTTTATTATACTTCTATAATGATAGATTTCGCCAAGACTACACTTTAGACAAATATTAATAAAGACGAACAATATTTAATCCATTCTCAATTTGACCACAGACTTTAAGCAATAAGAAAATAAACAAACAGTATGCATGCGTGTGTGTGTGAAATACATGGTAGTGTGTGTAATGTTTATTTTTATTGATTTAATGTACTTTTTATGCATAATTTGAAAAATTACTAACATTCTGCACTCTTTCTCTATATTCTCTATAAGTGTGAGAAATGTCATAGTCCTCCGTCCGCGTAATTTTCGTAACAAAGGGTACAAAGTTTTTGCTTCTCGTATTAATATATAGATTATTAATTTTCCAGTCCCCTAGCCCACCCAAGCTGGTCCAAGGACGGTGTAAACGTGGACAATACCTACAAGGATCGCATAACCCGCCACAACAGGTCCTCTGGGAGGAGACTGGTCATCAAGGAGGTTTGGGCAGAGGACGCGGGCACTTACACGTGCGATGTAGACAATCAGGCCGGCAGAAGACTGCAACACACAATCACCTTTAGTGTTGTCAGTGAGTAGAAAATTTCCAAATATTTTTAAGGGTTTTTTTTTATTGATTGGACGAGCTCACAGCCCACCTGGTGTTAAGTGGTTACTGGAGCCCATAGATATCTAGGACGTAAATGCGCCACCCACCATGAGATATAAGTTCTAAGGTCTCAAGTATACTCAAGTATACTCAAGCTCTCAAGCTACAACGGCTGCCCCACCCTTCAAACCGAAACGCATTACTGCTTCACGGCAGAAATAGGCAAGGTGGTGGTACCTACCCGTGCGGACTCACAAGAGGTCCTACCACCAGTAATAAGACCGAACCTCTTCACATGACCCCTTGCCGAGGGACCACGCGGTAAGTATATATGGGTCTGTCACTCACAAAACGACTCCCCTGTACCTTCGTCCGATCCCTACCCAATATAAAACCCAGGCAACACACAATTGACAGATTTTTTTTTACAGCTTTGTTCCCGGAATGTACCACCCGACCAATAAGTCAGCTTTAGGATTTTGGATTTAGAAGCATTTAAATTTAACGGTTTTTTAGTTTAGTCAAAATACATTTAGTTTTGTGTTTTTTTTTTAGTTTTTAACGAACAAAATAATGATTTTGTCAAGCGGTTATTTTGAAAATCATTCTTAAATTGTGACCGTTATATTTCAAAATACTTTGCCACACTGCTGCCAATCAATATTTTATGTAGACGCTTACAAGTCTAGGCGCGCGCTAATGATTTGACGTTATAAAAGTAATAAGGTTTCCATCTCTTTTCTTTCTTTCGTCCCTTTCTTGCATTATCATCGGGAATTAAGTTCAATATTCCAAGTCCCTAAGTCAATACTTTTAGTTTAAATTAAAAAAAACATTGTTCAAGGAACTAAAAAAAATATATTCACAGGTGCACCAACCTTCACGACTAAACCAGAGAAACGAACGCTGGCAACCCAAGGCGAGGACGTCACAATACCTTGTAAGGCGACAGGAATTCCGTCACCTCTAGTTTCGTGGACTTACAACGGCGAACCCGTGACCGAAGGGGTCACTGGTGACGGACTGGTGATCAAGGCTGTCAATAAATCTAATCAAGGCTACTACGGGTGTACTGCCTCGAATGAGCACGGCGCAGAATACGCCGAAACGGCTCTTCAAGTCGCTTAAATTCTATAATGGCGACACGCCTAAGGCGGCCATATGTGTTATACAATAAAAATTAAATAAATAAAAACTATACTTATTGTTTCCTTTATTTTTGTTAGAAAGCCAATGAGAAAATTCATATTGAAGTGAAACTTCCTTAGAATCGTTGTGATTACAAAATTGATGAAACGAAATAATAAGTCCATAGAGACACAAACACATAAATGTAAGGATTCAGCCGGCGAGAGAATGAGACAGAACACATAAGATGTAGATTTTTTAATACTAACGTGTGTATGAAACCTCTTGTAATGAGTTTTAATTTAGGATTATACGTGAAGTTAAAATATCAATTCACAGAGGGCCCTACCTCATACTATAAAAGATGATTTACAATTATTTAATAATGACAAAATTTTACATATACTTAGACATTTAGGATAGTTGTATTTTAATTTTTGAAGGTTTCACTTCTACCACGTGTGAATTACACACGTATTTTTTATATTTTTTTATTATTATTGCTTAGACGGGTGGACAATATCACGGTCCATCTGGTGTTAATTGGTTACCGGGGCCCATAGACATCTACAACGTAAATGCCGCCACACAACTTGAGACATGAGTTCTAAGGTCTCAGTATGATTACAACAGCTGCGCTACCCTTCAAACCGAAACTCATTACTGTTTCACGGCAGAAATATGCGTTTCGGTTTGAAGGGTGGGGCAGCCGTTGTAACTATACTTGAGTCCTTAGAACTTATATCTCAAGGTGGGTGGCGCATTTACGTTGTGGATGTCTATGGGCTCCAGTAACCACTTAACACCAGGTGGGCTGTGAGCTCGTCCACCCATCTAAGAAATAAATAAATAAATTATAATAATAATTTATAAGCTAAGTTTCATATCGCTTTCTTCAATGAACTAAGCAAGCAAACCGCAATGAATAATGTAATGCAAATACACCTCAGATATTTTGGATTCAAGTGCCGCCTAAAAGAACTAAAAAATTAAGTTTTATTTTTAAAAAACTACCCAACAAACACACGGACATGCAAGTCTTTTATAAATTAAACACGCATATATAAATAATACAAGTATCTATCTATAACTAGTAGAACGCGTTATTATTCTAACCCGTTGACATTTTACAATAGACTAGCTTTTCCCCGCGACTTCGTTCGCGTGGAATAATTACTTTGGCATAAGGCTAAATTTTACCCGCCTCTTCATTTACGTAGAAAGTGAAAATATTTTTGAATAATAGAATGTTAAGGAGCTATTTAAGATACCAAAATCACGCTTCTTAACCGACTTCAAAAGAGGAAGTTATCAATTCGACCATAATTTTTTATCTATGTATGTTCAGCGATTTCTCGAGAATGCTTGAACCGATTCGGATAATTCTTTTTTCTTTTTTTTTTTCGAATGGGTAGACTACCCAAATGATCCTGTTTACATCAAGATCTGATGATGGGATCCTAGAGAAATCCATAATCCAGAAAAATCTATAATTGTCAAAGCCCTTCTTGAAGTGATCTGGGTGTTTTAATGTTGTAATGAATACCGCATTTGTTTGGATAGGGATTAATATCATCTTTATAAAAACACCTTCGCAAATAATGCTTTATTTTAGAACAAATTTGGTTAAAAAATTGTTAGCATAAAAAATGTTATAGACCATAACATATAGACATAATATGCTGAACTAAATGTCCTGGTCTACTAAAGTCTAGGGTTTGATAATACAACGTCATCGTAATTGTAAAAACAACTAGTTAACATTTATAGTATTATGATGGCCATTTATGGCCGGTACAGGGGCGCCGATAAAGTGATTCCCTAGGGCGCTCTGGACCTTTAATCCGACACTGGGTATGACGACGCATACAATACGCTAGTTAATACAATATCGAGGGGTGAAAGGAGACTTGAAGGCATCTCCACGGGAAGCTGAAATTACAATATTTATCTTTGACGACGGACCGAAGCCTTACGTGACACATAAAAGCTACCCTGTTACATTGATTTGACTTAAAATACGGAACTGAATATTTTTGAAAATCCGTGGAATAATCCAGAAAGTATCTAAGTATGTAACTTATACTGCCACAGAGAAGAGAATATCATCAATACGAGCCTCAAGAGTGTCGCATTTGAATCAAGGGCGGATCCAGCTTTGGCGCCAGGAGGGGGTCACATAGTCAAATTTTCGATGCGCTCGTTCCCAAACGCTTGCCATCATACAAAGTTATTATATTATGTATATTAAATTAATTAAATATTGAAGGTATGTAGTTACATAAAATCTGTATAGTGACAAAATATATAAATAAAATCATTAGGTTCAATTAGTGGTTGACCTAAGTTCTGGAACCAGCTCAGGGGGGGGTCATGACCCCATGACCCCCCCCCTGGATCCGCCGTTGATTTGAATAAGCCGAAATGTCCGAGAGATTAAAATTTAAAAAATATAGCATAAATTAAGTCATTTTATATTCCCCATTTAGAGTCATATTGTATAAACAAGAGGCTGTATTTTAACTTAAACGACATTAAATATTTCAATAAGTCAAAAGAATGCATTCAACATGATAACGATATAATAAATGAAATATAAATGAAAAATTCAAATAAAATCTAATATCAGAGAAGCTAAAATTGATTTTGTCATTCCTTTTTTTTTTTTATTGCTTAGACGGGTGGACTAGCTCACAGCCCACCTGGTGTTAAGTGGTTACTGGAGCCAATAGACATCCACAACGTAAATGCGCCACCCACCTTGAGATACAAGTTCTAAGGTCTCAAGTATAGTAACGACGGCTGCCCCACCCTTCAAACCGAAACGCATTACTACTTCACGGCAGAAATAGGCAGGGTGGTGGTACCCACCCGCGCGGACTCATAAGAGGTCCTACCACCAGTAATAAATTTATTTTTAATTATTGCTTAGTTCATGAAAGCAAATAACTTAACACTATTCGTGTTGTTTCTTGTCGGAAAACTATAAAAGCATTGCGTAGAAAACACAATAATAAAACTCACTTCGATAAAGCTATGCGTCATCATAATAGTCTTATCGTTGCCGCCTCTGACGCAGGAGTCAATCACCGTCGACGTCCTAGATACGTCCTTACGGATCCATCAGAGCCAATAATTCTAGCAATAGAAACCTTCAGCTTTAACGTTGGAGCAAAGAGTTAAAGAGTTAAGAGTTAAAGTAAGTTAAGAGTTAAAGAGTTCGACGTGCAACCTAACCCAAACATCAGCTCGCTGAGTTTCTCGCCGGATCTTCTCAGTGGGTCGCGTTTCCGATCCGGTGGTAGATTCTTCGAAGCACTGCTCTTACTAAGGTTAGTTTTAGCAATACTCCCGGTTTGAGCCCCGTGAGCTCACCTACACATCAAGGAGAAGTTGAAATAGCCTCTCAACATAAATGCGCCACCCACCTCGAGATATAAGTTCTAAGGTCTCAGTATAGTTACAACGGCTACCCCACCCTTCGAACCGAAACGCATTACTTCTTCACGGCGGAAATTGGCGGGGTGGTGACTCCCAAGAGGTCCTACCACCAGTAAAAAACGAAGTAACGTGCTATTTAAAACTAAGCGGAGGACAACCTTATAAGCGCATATATTTAAAATTCAAATAGCTCCCGACAACACATAAACCATTCGCAGACATCAGAAACTGGGATACTTTAGGACAACTATATTTTTGTATGGAAACTAGCGACATCTTGTAGCGAATGCCGCTAAACTTATATGTTAAACACAGTGTATAATTCCAATTAGATTTATTAAGAAGATATTTTTTTTTATGTCATTTCTCATACTACACTTGAGAATTCTATTATAAATAATAGGGGGTACCTACTCAATTTAACTTTTATTTTCCGATAAAAAAAATTAAAACGCTTGCTTGGTGTAATATCGTCTTACTAACTAATTTATAACAAACATATTTAAGAATGATTATTTTTTATGCCAATATTCTTTCGCCATAGCCGCAGTCATCTTAGTTTTTTTAACTTGGCTTAGTTAGTTTTTTTTCGAATCTATTTTTATTTAACTATTGATAGGTAGGTCAAATAAACAATTGTTTTAATGATTTCGTGATGAAAAAAAAGAAAATAATAATAAACGTAATAACAACTAGGTAACTTGTAATTAATCGTACACACGGTATCACACAATTAAAAGATCGCATATAAATAAAATTATGAAATACAATAACCCAACACTCACAATAATCTAGTTGCGCACTTAATTTATTATTATTATTATTATTAATGCTTTATTTCAGTTATTATTTTTTTTAAAACCATAACATTTTGTTAGTAATAATTACTTATAATCTATGTTAGTAACTTAAAAATTATTATAAATTATTTATGTGCCATCTCTAATAATTGCGAATTGCATGGTTGACACGACCCCGTAACCCGCCATATAACATACAACGTACCTACAAGTCCTACAACACATAAGGCAGGATTTTTTTAGTACTGTGCAACAATATGGATGGGAACAATAACAAATCACCAACTTTTTACGGTAACCACTCACCATCAGGTATGCTCACGGAATAGATAAATAAGGTTGGAAAGGCCTTTGCTCTAATTTTGTATTAGAACCAGTGTCGCCGCTTCATCCCCACTATTTTAATTTCTACACATACACACACTGTGATTACAAGTATTTCGCACACAACAAAAACACCCACACATAAATCTCAGGACAGATATTCGTTTGCAAACTAGCACAAAACTCCCGTAGGCATACACACACACACGCAAAAAGGCAATAAAAATGTTCATACACGCTAGTGCTTGATAAAATCGATATTCTTTATCGTTAAATTATCTGATTACAAATAGTCACTGTCCCTGGAATAAAACGTATTTGTTAAGCAGTTGGCGCTTGCTATTAATTGCGAATGAATTTTTCAAAACTAAGTGTATTCTGATTTTTTTTATGGTAAAATAATTTTCAGTAAAATGTTTTGAGCAAATAGTACTCGTCTTTGTCTCCAGTTTCCTCTACCTGTCACGTCAATCCATTGTTCCCTGGCGTTAGGTTTTTTAGGAAACCTAAAATTTTTAATTTACTGCATAAGTCAAATAGCATTTTACTTAGATTTTAATACGTCTTAGACAATATAGTAAATATCCGTAAATGAGAGGTCTACATGTCCCTTTATATTATACCTTCACTTTAATTCAATGATAATAATTCAATAATAATAATACATATTTATTTTACTCAAAATACGTCTCACTAAGAATATACTAGGTATCATTAATTAAATATAAAATAATGCAAAAATTATCCATGTCAAATGTAAATATAGTCGAGAATTCTGTCGATGATTTTATTTCACCACATGGTCACCTCACTATCGACAAACTAGCGCCGTGCATCACGGCCAATCAGGGCAAAGGCCGAAATTTCAAAGATTGAAGTGTAGAGAACGCAATGCATGTATTACATTGGAAGCTGACTTGGTCATTGCGTGCATTGGGCGAGTACACATCGCGCAATGTATGCTATTTATAACTTGCTGCAATAATATTGTTAATGTTTGGAATTTCATAATGCTCAGTATATTTTTATGTTTTAGACAAATAATATTGTAATTAAAAGGTAATTTCGACTTACGGATCGAAAGATATACCTCCTCGCTCTATACTTGAGGTCTGACTTTTTGTTTTACAAGTTATAATTGCACAACACGGCACTATAAAGCGGAGATCTGTTCGCCAAAGTAGTCCGAAGCGCACTAAACGCGGTGAATAAAAGAATCGGTCGAGTTATGTTTGTACAATCATAACTGTGGCACGCTTGCCCCGCCTACATTACCATTCCAACCTTATTTATCTATTCCGTGGGTATGCTCGTCTGACTACAAGGGCAAAAAAAATCAATTTTTTTAGAAGTACTATCTATAACACTAGTGCCTTTAAGCCCTTAAAGTGTGCGCGCGCGCGTGTGTGTATGAAAATAAGTGGCAATGAGAGATTAAGTGTTCGATCCACTAAAGGTGCTTTCAGGTGCCTCAAGCACCGGTCACCGTCCTTGTCGAACCCGTTACTTGCGACAAAGGGCTCGACGAGTAAATTAACCCATAGACCACAGCCCACTGAGTTTCTCGCCGGATCTTCTCAGTGGGTCGCGTTTCCGATTCGGTGGTAGATTCTGCGAAGCACGGCTCTTGCTAGGGACAGTGCTAGTAACACTCCCGGTTTGAGCCCCGTGAGCTCACCTACACACGTCAAGGAGAAGCTGAAGTAGCCTCTCAAGGCTATCAGTATAGGTAGGAAAGAAACGGTAAAGTGTCAGTGTGAAGTGTGGTATGTCTCGTAATAAGTGTACATACACATTGTCACATTGCTAGCTTTACAGTATGTATGAGTCCGTCTGGGGCAGACGCCGCATGGGTGCCTAAGGCGGTCTGACTTTCCGACTTTGTAACGCAGCGTTTCGTTTCGCGGAGCAACAGTAGCCGAAGGGGATTGTGACTCAGGTCCGTGCCGCGACCACCCACCCCGCGCTACCCGCGCCCTCGCATCTATTGCAACATTTGCACCTTGGGGGTGCGCGCCAGACTTTGAAAGCGGAAAACACATGTCCCCGGTCGATACCGGAACTGACAAACCCGAGTCTCATGCCAGTCGGGCACCCAACATTAAAGCGTGTTTTTTAGTTGTTTAAAATATTATTTATTTTTCATTTTTAGCAAAATTTTCTATAAAAGCGTATTTTTAAAACCATTATGTACTTTAACATAATTCCTGCCTTATCGACTATAGATAAATATTATATAAATTGGCAAAAATCTTATTTTGCAAATTGAATAATGGAATCATCTTATCAAATTAGTGTATTGTCATCGGTCCTCGATAAATCTACAAAATCTAAATAACAATTGGCCGTTTAAAGTGAGTCAAAATCGCTTCCAAAGGAGTCAGTTACAAACATACAAACATATATACAAGTGAAGCTAATATAAAGCGTGTAAAAAAAGAGGTCTAATATTGGTTTAATTTTGGAAAGTTTGGCCCGGCCACTGTGGCAACGTTGCAAAATCACAATTTTCATTGTTAACAAAATGCAGGCATTTTGACAGCAGCAGGAAACACTCATATCACATCTCCGCGGAGAAGTCTGGTGTATAACAAATATTTCTAGAGGTACACTAATATTCTACTACTAATATACTACTCTACTAAGAGAGTTATTTACTACCACCCACACAGCCAGAACGATGGGCAAGATACGTGTAAAGCACGTTCACATTTGTATCTTGCCATCCAATCCGGCTATTAGGTTGGATCGTCCCATTCTCCAACATTTTACTGGTGGTAGGACGTCTTGTGAGTTCGCACGGGCAGGTACCACCACCCAGCCTCTTTCTGCCGTGAAGCAGTAATGCGTTTCGGTTTGAAGGGCGGGGCAGCCGTTGTAACTATACCTTAGAACTTGTATCTGAAGGTGGGTGGCGCATTTACGTTGTAGATGTCTATGGGCTCCAGTAACTACTTAACGTCGGGTGGGCTGTGAGCTCGTCCAGCCATCAGAGCAAAAAAAATAAAATAAAAAAACATGGCCATTATCAGCTGCTATGCGTAAGTGTTGGTTTCCGTGACAATCACTTCCACGATTTCACGATCCCATATTTTTTATTTATCTTTTATTGCTCAGATGGCTGGACGAGCTCACAGTCCACCTGGTATTAAGTGGTTACTGGAGCTCATTGACATCTACAAATGCGCCACCCGCCTTGAGACACAAGTTCTAAGGTCTCAGACGTCTCAGTATAGTTACAACGGCCGCCCCGCCCTTCAAATCGAAACGCATTACTGCTTCACGGCAGAAATAGGCATAGTGGTGGTACCTACCCGTGCGGACTCACAAGAGGTCCTACCACCAGTGTGTGTGCTGTGCGTAAGTGTTGGTTTCCGTGACAATCACTTCCACGATGTCACGATCCCCTATAGCAATAAATACATCGTATGAAAGAGACCGTAGGGCCACTTATTTGGGTGAAGGTTCTTCGCTTTAAATGGGGTTCAATTTGAGGCATTAACACCTTTCTCCGTTCAAATTTTAATTTATTATTAGGTTCTATACTGAGACCTATATACTGTAACTATACTGAGACCTTAAAACTTATATCTCAAGGTGGGTGGCACATTTACGTCGTAGATGTCTATGGGCTCCAGTAACCACTTAACACCAGGTGGGCTGTGAGCTCGTCCACCCACCTAAGCAATAAAAAAATAGTGAAAAAAGGTTCTATCGGAGTAAACGAAAGTCGTCGGTGAGGCGCGCATTGGGGTTAACGTGGATAGGCGAAGAGATTGAGGAGGCCACTCGTAAGTAATATTAAACCCATCTTCTCTTCCAACTTCCTCATCGTCTTCGTCCATCCACATCCTTGCCGCTCGGGGCACCAATGACGGCTGGACAATTTCTTCATCCTTAGACTCTTCTTCGCTGCTTGAAGGGAAAAAAGTTAAAAGTTGTGGTTTCGATTATAATAGGTACTTTACTTTCGCGATTATCGATAAAAAGGTTGATGCCATAATGTACTTACCGTAATTGAGCAAAGCTATTAGCTCGTCATCGCGAAGAGGTTTGCACCAACGGATTCTACAAAATATAAAGAAATTTTTAATTAATGCTAGTAATTATTTATTATGGTATTTTTATTGTTATTTTATATTCTATATTGGTAGTATACAGAGATGAACTTACATTTGTCGACGGGGTGTTCTGGGAGTGCGGTCTAGACTTCTGAAAAATAAAACAAATATTCAATAACAAATGTCAAAAAAATTAACGTATAAAAATATATTTCATAAATACTTACACGGGCCACTCGGTGGTCGAGGTGCTTGCCCCACTACTGCCAGGCCCACATACTAAGTATCTACAAAAATTTTGATTTAAGAAATGAATACAAAATAAAATAAAAAAATCAAGTAAGTAAGGCACCTATTTCAAAATTCAAATTATTAAATAAAAATTTAATAACTCAAAAATTAACTTTCTCTGTTGGAAGTTATGGATAGGTTAATCGTGAATAATGAAAAATACGATCAGTTTACTTATAACCAAGCATATAGGATATGCATTCTTTATTGAAAAGGATTACGTTTTGAGAAACGTCCTTGCTCCCAAGAGAGTCGTCATAGTCGTCAATAACTAATGACCTTGAGGAAACAATATTTATTTTATAATGAGGGCCTGTGCTTCTTTTCCCACGCATGGAATTTGTTTTTTGTAGGCACGACCGTAGTGTTCGAGAAATTCTAATAAAAACGCCGAGTTATGACCGCAATCCACTTCAAACCCATTAGGGCCAAATGTTGAATGACTAAATTATAAAACAAGCTAATCTTACAAATTCCTACCTGTATATCCTGTATGTATCCATGTATATTTTATAAAATATTGTCATCTTTCATCCGTCAGAACCATATTAAAGTTTAAATATTTGGTGTGTAAGTGTATATATGTATATTTATGAAACTTTTATTATCCGTTTCAAACTTCTCCCTACTTATCTGATCGTTTCCCGTGTTTCGTATCCTTTTTTAACTTAGTTTCCCAATCTTTTAATTTACGTCATTGGCAAAAAGTAAACGCTATTGCCAAAATAAGAAAAAAAGATAATCTTACAAATTACGATTCAATTTTGTACAGAGAATTGAACATTCTCTAATATATAATTTCTGTATTTATTTATTTACAAAATATGTTATATTATTGAATAATATAGTTACAGGGCAGGTGATGGCACCAAAAGCTCCATTGGCCCACTGGTCGATGTCAGCTTATGCAGAGAGGAACTCCACATTTCTAATCTTCTTCTAATCTAAAGACAAAGCTATAAATACTGTTTTGCTGTTAAAAACATAAATATTTAAAAGTACCAGAATATAAACCTTGGGTGTTTCGCAACCACAGGAGGGAGCAAGCACCCTTAACTTCTTAGGGTGCAGTGGTGTTTATAGGGGTTGGCAGGGTGACAATTCCTCAATTCGTATTGAGACTTTTAGTTTTAAGAGGTAATTACGGTTCAGAGGCCAAAGGTCTGGCCTGGTGGCGACCACCACGTGGAACACTTCTACCGCCACCCCGACCACCCCTAGATGGCCAAAGGCTGCAGCACGTTAACTGGAAAAAAAAGTGTAAATTAGTTCAAGAAGTTTGCTTATGCAAAGATTCCAATCACTGGTATAAAATATTTAAAAAAATTAAATATCTATAACAAAAAATTTAAGAAATCTTAAAAAAAAATTATGAAATTCACACTATCTATGGTTTATCTTTTTCTGTTTTTATTTATTTGTTATTAGCAACATGAAACCGTTATTCTATCAAATTTAATATTTAGTAGATCTACACTGTTTTGATGTGAAAATGTTTATAAAATGTTTAATGTTTAATTTGGTTTTTTTTATTGCCTCTGTATGCAGACGAGCGTACGGCCCACCTGATAGTAAGTGGTTACTGTCACTCATGAACGTCAGCAATGCCAGGGGCAGAGCCAAGCCACTGCCTACCTTTATTGTTTAGAAATACAAAAGACTCAAAATACTCAAATTTTAATACACACAAATGTTAATAATAAATTGTTATACATAAGTAGCATTAATACTTTGAAGAAGTCTTGTAATTGTACAAATCATGTTGTTTGCGCCATATATTATCAGACTGGATAATAATAATGTTTGTTTAAATTACTAAAAAATAATTTATATAAATAAATTTATGTCAGAGTCAGGTACAATTCACTAAAATATTTATTGTGAATATTAAGCTACATTACATGTATTGTTCCGCAGTAATTCCATTAGTTTGTAAAAAAGTAACTGTTGTAGTGTGCTTTAAATAACCATCACACAATGGCTAATTGTGTAAAAATTAAGAAATTACTTTTCATAGTACCTAGGTTAAACTTTAGGAAGGAACTTTAGAGGACCATAGAGGAAAGTTTAGCCAGTACCTATTCACGTAATATCAACGTTTAATGGAATTGTATTGTATTTTCGTTGTAACAGATCTTACGTGTCAAAACCCTGGCATATCGCAGACACTAGAAGCACTAAATAGGTAATTATATAGAAATTCTAACAAATCACACAACTTCACCCGTCACGTTCCCGCCAAAAATTTCGCTAATAAACACGTAGTGATTATATACTCTTTGCTAATAAACTAATACCTTTTTTTTAAGGGATTTTATGACCTGGTAGCTAAGACCTTTAAGTCATGTCTTATTTTAATTTATGTTCTTAGGGGCCATCCATAAAGTACGTCACACGTTAATGGGGAGGGGGGGTATCACCGAAGTGTGACATCGTGTGACAAGGGGCATGGGGGGTCAATACTTTTGTGACGTCACATGTTAAAATTTAAAATACTAAAACGCAAAGTTTGTATGTGAATTAAAAATTTTAAAAATTTACAAACTTGATCTATATTTATTAATAATTTAGCATTCTCGCTATGCGATAATCTCTCATGCAACGTCATTTAACTTCTAGAGCGGCGTTGTAATGCAAGTGAGACACTCAAATTAGGATGTTCCTGACGTTCAAATTCAGAACGAAAATGAAGTGCCTGATTTACCAGTAATAGCTGATATAAAAGAGTGGATCCAAAGTCCATGGACACTCGATAATTAAGTTTTTTATCTTTAATTAATATAATTAATCGTTTATTATTTTCTAACTAGTCGTTTGTTTTTTCGGTTTTATGAAATGTTGGACTTTATGTTGATTTTATTAGATTATTATTTAATAAAAATAAGTAAAAAATGAAAATAGCTGTTTTCTCTCGATTATTTTTAAATACATACATAAATTTTAAAAATGTGTGACGTCACATCAGGAGGGGGGGGTTATAAAAATGTGACAACCTGTGACAAGGAGGGGGGGAGGGGTTCAAAAGTCCTAAAATTCGTGTGACGTACTTTATGGATGGCCCCTTACTTTTATGAAAAATGATAATATGGAGTGAAATGAAATGAAATGAAGATGATTAATTTGAGACGTTAATCAACTGGGATGAAATGAAATGACATGAGATGAGATGATATGGGATGAAGTATAATCTCAGTAAAATGGTGGTCATTTACTGAGACTTTATCAGTGGACTTCTTGGAAGATCCCGAGAAGTTACGTTCAGTGGCTTTGTTTCATTTTCCCACATTTGTGCACTTTCACAGATACTAAACAGTTAATAAACCACTGTTATTACACATTTAAATCTGAAGAAACACTAACTAGACAAAATAAAACAAATCACACAACTTCACTCCTCGCGTTCCCGCCAAAAAGTCCCGCTAATAAGCTCGAGGAGTTATGCTATAGATTATACACTGGTTGTGCTAGCTTTAACGGACTTGCAGGCGAGCTCACAAGCCCAAGTGCATTATTTACATTATGATACTAACCTAAATATTGAGGGTATTATATCTATGTTCTAACCCTAGCTTAATGACTTTTAATCGAAAAAGCCCGCAACTAGTTGCATTCGTAGACAGCAAAATTAAGACCACTTTTTTTTTTACTTATGCTGGTAGCCTGGAGAGGCTATTTCAGCTTCACCCTAACGTTTGTAGGTGTATATCCGGCGAGAAACTCAGCGGGCGGTGTCTATGGGCTAATTCGCTCGTCGAGCCCCTCGTCGCAATCGACGGGTTCGACGAGGGCGGTGACTGGTGCTTGTAGTGCCTAAAAGCACTGTTAATGGATCGGGAGGATCTGTAATGACGTGCTTTGGGCGACGTCGACTGTTTACGATTCGGTCTAAAAAACCACATTTTTCACAATGACTAAGTATAATGAGTGAGTATGACAACACTTGAAATGAACGGATGAACGACATTAACGCAGAAAGGAGAATGATTTATGTGAAAAACAGTGACAAACGCATATTTAGTTTCGTAAAATGTCAAATAATATGTATATATCACTATAATAAAGAAATCGTGGCGAACAAATTCCGCAACAATACTTAATAATATGTATACATATTATGTAACACAAACTATTTTATTTCAGTCCAAAAACTTAATAGTCTATGGTAAATTCAGTGGTTTTTTATGCGAAGAAATTGTCGAAAACTTGTTATAGCGAATTAAAAACATTTATCAACTCAATAAAATACAAATCTATTTAAAACCTAGTGCCGGTCAGATCGGCCGTTTAGAATTCATTAAGGTAGGTATTTAAAAGATTTTTTTGATTTAAATTAGATTGTCAATGAAGAATTAAATTCCAAGAAACATCAAAATTGGGACTATCAAGTATTGATTGATCCATGAACAGCCACTGACAGCTTTCTCTACACAACATTGATATATCTAGTATGTGGTAGAGAGACTGTGGTGGAAAGCCCGCTAAAACATCTAAAAATACACTGCTATTATTCTGATCGGGAATGTTGTATTGTATGTTGTTATTTCGCTTTATGTACAATTTACATAACAATTACGTTGTTTAATTTAACATCGACATTAAAATCTTAAAATTCTTTAAAATTTTAATGTTGTTGTTGCAGTTCTAGGTTGCGCCGCTGGTACACAGTGCCCTCACAAGTTGTCTCCACTTAACTCCATCTTGCGCTTGCGCCTAGACATCACACTAAGCACAAAATTATATTACGTTCTTAACATTCTAAGCTATGTTTAGCTGAAAAAGGTTGTTCATAGAATTTTTAGCACTTGTGAAGTTCTCAAATGTGGGAAAATGAAGTAAAGACGCTGCACGAAGTTTCTCGGGTTCTTCCACAATGTCTATCGAAAAAGTCTTAGTAATCCACCATTTTACTGGGGTTATATTATTTCATCGTATCTCATCTAGATTATTTATTTATTTAAGGGTTACCGACAGGGTTTACAGTAAGACATAAAATAACATTGACATGTATAGAGCAATTGATAACTGCAACTCTAAGTAGGGGCAATCACAGCATGCATAACATTAATATATCAATAGAGATTTAACAATATTATTAATAATAATAAAAAAATAAAAACAAAAGAAAGACAACAAGGACAGTAATACCCGAGTACTCAGACCAAGGCTGAGGCTGAGGTTCAACAACAACTTTTTATAATGTTGTTCCTGAATATTGGAAGGGAATCGCCAAATATGTCAAGGTTTTCAGCCTTTCTGACTAGATTATTATAAAGGTTAGTTAGACGAGGAGTAGGTGAGTGCTTGCCAAGTTTGGTTCTGCTAAAGCGGGTGCTGAAAAGAGCAACGGCACGACGAGGTAACCTGGATGGCACCTTCAATGAGAATTTATTGAGGATGGTTTGGGAGTCGACAGCACCGCTCATAACTTGATGTAAAAAACGCAACTAACATATCGCGGCGATCACTCAATGCTTGCATTTTAAAATATTTAGCCCTATCAACATAAGATTCAACATAATTAGGCGGCCTAAAACGGTACGACATGTGGCGAAGGAACTTTTTTTGAATTCTCTCAATCCTGTTAATATGAGTTTTGTATGTAGGACACCACACAGTGCTGCAGTAATCAAGTTTGCTTCTAACATAACTGTTGTAAAGCATTAGCGTAGTGGAAACCTTCTTAAACTCCCTACCACTCCTAAGTACAAAACCCAGTGATTTGTTCGCGGCATCTATAAATTTGTCAATGTGCTTAGCGAAATTCAGCTCAGGTATCCCGCTCCACCCCTAAATCACGAGTCTGAGAAACTTCACTCAAGCATTCCCCTGAAATATGATATTGTGTTGGTATTATATTGCGTTTTAATGTAAATTTTATATGTAGACATTTCGAAATATTCAAATACATTATATTAATTTGGCACCAATCAACCAATTTATCAATATCACTCTGCAATAGTTCAGCATCATTCACGTCATTTATAACACGCATTATTTTAAGATCGTCAACAAATAGGTAACCGGTAGAATATTTAAAAAGATTTGTAATTTCGTTGATAAAGATTAACTTAATTGTAGTCAAATTTAATACAATTGATTAAAATATAAAATTAAATAAGTTCGTCTGATTTCGCTTATTACCCTTTTTTTTAATTAAAACAAAATTAAAGGAAAATAAGATATGGCTTAAAAGTTGTTGACTGGTCATAAAATTAAAAAAAATGATCAGATGATTGACATGTTCAATGACAGCTGTCGTATATGACAACTCATCTAACCTTAAAATATTGGACTACTAAAATCAAAACATTACGAAATCCCGACGAAATATAAAACAAAAAGTACATAAAGAATCATGTTATTCTTGTATTTATTGAGTTATTTATCTCTTTTTATTCAAGGAGTGTTTATTACCCTGGCTGTAGGTAAGAAAAAAACTTCAATCGATATTTAAATATTTATACGATTATTGTAATTATGAAACAAGAATTATAGTATTTAATAGGACTATTATTTTTATATGCCAAAAAATCTTGCAATTCATGATCTCTTTTTGCTTCGTCGTAACCCTCGTGTTATACATGCTACGCTTCTAAATAACATACTTAAAAATCTTGTTTTACCGGCTACTGCTGTTCATGGTCAACGGCAACGCCTATATCAGGGGTGGCCAACTTGATTAGAACCAAGATCTCTTATCTACTGACGAAGCACTGCGATCTACCAATGACCTTTCTTGAAATTTAATGAAACTATGTAGTTCAGTATACAAAAAAGTAACATATTTTCTTTTATTAAAAAGTTTTTTTTTAATTGCTTATATGCGAAGACGAGCTCACAGCCCACCTGGTGTTAAATGATTACTGGAGCCCATAGACATCTGCAACGTAAATGCCCCACTCACCTTGAAATATAAGTTCTAAGGTCTCAAGTATAGTTACAACGGCTGCCCCACCCTTCAAACCAAAACGCATTACTGCTTCACGGCAGAAATAGGCGGGGTGGTGATACCTACCCGCGCCGAAATAATAAATAATATAACAGAATGGTCATTAACAAATGATAGAAGGTGAAGATAATGCGTGCAGCAATTGGTGATTACGTCGTGTGGTCTGTTCTATTGTGTTTATATATTTTGTCTTACCACGATCGACTGAACTAATAGCCACGATCGACTGGTCGATCGCAATCCACCGATTGATCACCCCTGGCCTATATCAATACACAACCAACCTGCTATCGCCTGCTGAAGACTTCAATCCTTTCGGAATGACATATGACAACATAAATGCTGACAAAAATATTCAATTTGCAATGAATCAATTTAAAAATAAATTTATCACTTTTAAAAAAAATGCAAATCAAAAAAGATAACAATGAATTTGAAAGTTTATTTTGTAATATTATTAAGACATTTATTTATTCATCACTCTGAAGGAAATCACATTCCTAACACGTTCATGTAACTAATTTAAAAAATATGAATTTAGAATACATTAAACCATAAATAATTATGAAATAATAATTAATACCACTTAATAATGCAGGTTAGTGACCACATAATAATATATTCATTCAAAAAAGCATCAGGAATGATTGATTTGTTCTCCAAATTGAATGGCTCCGAAGTTTTCTTTTGTTGTTGTTAGTTGGGCACAACTGTTTTTCATTGTGGCGCAGAGTTTAAGTTTCATCTGTTATTTAGATTATACGGTACTGTATTTAATAATTCATAATGACCATAGATATGGAACAAATAGTTTGTCTTAAATTTTGCATCGCCAACGAATTTTTGTGTTCGGAGTCACGGATGATGTCACAGAAGGTGAAGACTTATCAGAAACACGTGCTTATGAGTGGCACAAAGAGTTCAAAATTTGTTGAGATGTGATGAAAGATTTTCCTCGCTCTAGTAGGCTGCCTCGCCTTATTTCATGTGCTACTATCCCAACTAATATATGCATTTATTCGTACTAGTGGTCGCCTGGTAGGAAATTCGACTATAATTATTAATTTAAATGATAAGTTTGTACATTATTACGGTTCGATTGTCAAAGGCAACTTCTATGATCACAGATTACGCTAAGGCTACACTATAGACAAATATTAATAAAGAAATCAATATCAATCTTGTCTTAACTTGACACAGACTAACCATAAANTAATATATGCATTTATTCGTACTAGTGGTCGCCTGGTAGGAAATTCGACTATAATTATTAATTTAAATGATAAGTTTGTACATTATTACGGTTCGATTGTCAAAGGCAACTTCTATGATCACAGATTACGCTAAGGCTACACTATAGACAAATATTAATAAAGAAATCAATATCAATCTTGTCTTAACTTGACACAGACTAACAATAAACAAAATAGTATTTATGCGTGTGTGTGTTAAATACATGTGTAATGTTTTCCTTATTGGTTTAACGTATATTTCAAGCATTATTTAAAACAATATTAGGATTGTGCACTCCTCTATATTATCTATAAGTGTGGGAAATTTCATACTGCTATTTTCGTAGAAAGGGGTACTAGTCCAAGATCCCAGGGCCCCCAGACATCACGTATTTTCTGACCAACGAAATGTGGCCGATTGCGTAATGTTAGTATGTACTAAGAACGCATGCCTACCTGCTACCTTGCTTAGACGGCCAATTTTCAGGTGTCAGGTACTCAAGGTACATGAAATCATTACCTACTTCACGTAAATTCTGAAAGCTGATTTTTATATATGTCCACCAGACAACTATTTTAAAACCTCTTACAAAAAGACACACCGATCCAAGGGGCCAATCATCCCCTAAATTCAATTTAATACTTCTGTGGGTAAGAGCGGAAGGGCATTATCCACGCATATGAGACTGAGTGAGACATGTATTAGGATATATTGACTTCTCTGTCTCTCTATCTCTCTCTTACAGTTGACTCATATCAATTAATTATTAATATTAAAAGAAAATCAGTTAAAAATTAAATAATCTGGGATCGTACTCTATACAAAGTTTTTGCTTCACGTATTAATATAGAGATGTGAGATTTTTTGCTTTTGTATTTTTCAGCCGCTGGCTTATATTATCTGGCCGAGATTGTAGAAGATAATACAGTGTTTGCTAAACAAGTCATCACGTATGCTGTATTCGTGAGTATGCCTTAGAATGTTTTCATTTGTTTTACACAGAGCGATGGGGATGCTGATGAAAAAATTAGCGGACATATTCGTAAATTATATCCGGACACATTCGTAAATTATATCCGGACACATTCGTAAATTATATCCGGACATATTAGTAAATTATATCGAGGGGTGAAACACTATTTGGCTTAAGTGACATTTCGCTTAATACGAGATATTCATCTTTTATAATAGGTTGGGGAAAAAGTCTTTTCGCATTATAGTATGTATGAACTTGTAATAAAATATCTTTGGGTATAATATTTGTATCTGGCTGGTTTTGGTATCATTAAAAGTTTAAATTTTAAAGAAGATAATTCCTAATTCAAATTAGGAAAATGTGCGATTTTTATTTATTTATACGTTATATGTTATAGGGAATTGAGAAAACATCTTATTAAAAAATTTTTTATTGATGAAATAGACATATAAAGATTTTACGACGACACTGACGGCAACCGAGCCGTGCGGAATTAGGAATAGGACTGACTGACTAGGGAGGGGATTGTTCTCTAATACAGGATCATAAGTGCTGATACTATTCGGGAAAAGTGATGATGAAAGCAAAGCTAGGAACCAGAGGGTATCATAACAGCGACTAGGACTAAACTTACACCCTTAATGGTGAAGTTTATGAATGGATGCGGATTCTAGGATTATTAGAAATAGGAGGTGATTCTGAATCTGGAGAGACGTTTGAGTTATGGGAATGGTTGAATCTAGAAGGGATGCAACGGTTGCTAATCTTATAAAGTTTATAAACTAAAGCTAGACTTAAAACTATTACAATAGTGTATACAATTAGAGATAACGAGTTATAATGATCATCGTCACTTATAAGTACTTGAGGTTTTTCAATAATCTTGTTAAGCTTACTGTTAAGGGTTTCAAAGTTGTCTTTATAGGTAATTAATGAATCTAGGCTAGTATGTTTCAGATGAGTTCTAGGAAAGGGCACGGCTGAATCAGAATTATTTAGAAGGTTTTAATTGTATCTGATAATATCGAAGTCGCTGGTAATGTGGCTTATTTTTATCTTAACGTTCTTTCTGGATAGTATTTGGATACCATTGCAATATCTTATACAGCCGTGTGGGATCTCAGCAATTCCAGTGCTACAAATATTAGTTTCGTAAATATTTTTATCACGACAATCGATTGACAACCTTGCAGCCTTTGACACAGATACAAATATCCATTTGTTTCCGCTTAGTTCTTGCCATACTTCAATATCTCTTTTGATTGTTTTAATCGAACAACTATCAGGCATGGAAATTGGTGTCTTTGTAACGATTTCACTTTCACATATAGGGTAGGTTATACTAGACAGGATGTTGACAATTTTGAGATATTGATTTACATTTACTTAAATTATTAAAATGACAATATTTACTTCTGTCTCTTGAAAACGCAATATAATTAGTAGTAGGGATAATAGTAATGTAAGATTCATTTTTAAATGACAATGGGTAAGGTAATACGCGATACATACTTAATTCTAAGAGGTTAACTAAAGGTATTTTGACAACAAATATGATCTTGTTACGATTATGATCTTGTCTTGTTGTACTTAAGCTAGATACATCCATTAATATATGAATATTACTTGCGTTTAAATGTATTGGAAGTTCTCTAGAACTTGGTAGGAATCTATAGTTATCCACCAAATCGTTATATAGTTGTTGAGGAGAACATATAGCAGGGTAAAGCACATTATTCTTACTGAACATTAGACCGTTAGCAATGTCCCCTAGTTTAAATGATAAAGTGATTATACTATTTTCTAACATATAAACAACTTCCATTATTTTAATTATAACGTTTAATTCAGAGGATTCTTTAGTAAAGTTTTTTGATGTTTCCAATATCCAGTTGACAGCGCTGTTCAAAGATTTTGCGTTGGCTACGAGATTTTTGATAGTTTCATTGAATACTTTAAGAGTGGAAGTAGAAATGACAATGTTTTGTTTCATAAGGTTTGCTAGTTCTTTTTGGTCCTTTTGTAGGGTTTGAACAGCGTTGTCGTAACGAATAGACTCGTCTTCATCCATGGTGCCGAATAAATGCTTTAACCCGGTTCCAACAATATTAAACCATGCGGACCTTTTAGTTTTATGATTGAGGAGATGAGAAAATGAGTCGAAATATTTGAGCATGTCTGCATATCTGACTTCAAGGGGTTGAATAACAGTTTCGCATTCATTTTGTACAAATGTTTGACTCTTGTTACATAGAGTACGTGTCAGACATAGAAACGCGTTTATATTGTCTAGGTGAGGCTTTATAAGAGATATGTCTACAGGTATCATTATACTTAGATGTTCGTTAGTTATTTTTATTGAACCGACCGGATCAAAATATAGGCCGATGCTTGAGTTGACCCTTTTCACAAAATCGGGATCACCGTATGTATGTACACGAGTACGCTGTAACCAAAGTATAGAAATTAAACTACTTTATTATTATATTTACATTCAGTTAGATGATGTTGCAGGTTTAATTTGACCGAAATGGTGTGTAACATGTCTTCTATTGATGAGTAAAGTTACAGTATTATTATAGTGTATTTGTAGAATTTTATACGGGTCCTTCCATGTTGGAGAGAGTGCTTACCTTAGGCGTAAGTGGTTCCTGAGATTAACTAGGTCTCCTACTTTGTATTTCATAGGTCGTGAGTGATTATCATAATATACTTTCGATCTTTCCTTAGAAGTCTGTATGTTTTTAATCGCTTTCTCTCTTGAACATTTTAGTCTGTGAGTTAGCATTTTGAGATACTCTGGGTATGTTGGATCGGGAGTATATTCATAGATGGAATCAGGTAAGTAAGGTTTATTACCAAATAACAATTCGTAAGGGGTGTAGTTTGTGGTACTATGAACACTAGTGTTATAAGATAGCATGGCGGTGTAGACGTAGCGATGCCAGTCATCTTGATCTTCATTAACAAATGATTTCAGGTACTCCTTTAAAGTTGAATGGCTGCGTTCTAGCGCGCCCTGAGTTTGTGGGTGATAGGGACTCGACCAAAGCTGTTTGATTTTTAAAAAGTTGCAGGTTTTCTTAAAAAGTTCTGATGTGAAATTAGTCCCTTGGTCTGTTAAAATTGCCTTTGGTATGCCAAAGAGTGAAATAAAATGTAAGAGGCACTCACAAGTTTCCTCTGCTGTAGTGGAACGGGTCGGATAGGCTATAGAATACTTAGTGAGGTCATCTTGTAAGGTTAGAATATATTTAAGTCTCGCAGGGCCGGAATCTGGTAAGGGACCAACTATGTCCAGAGCTAGTCTTTGAAATGGAGTTGATGACGTAGTTGTGATTCGCATCGGTGCACGTGAGATTTTGCGCAGCGCCTTGTTTTCTTGGCACAATTTACACGATTTGACGTAATTTTCGACGTCACTACGCATGCCCTTCCAATAATATTTTTCTTGAATCCTTTTGAGCATTCTAGTACCATCTAGATGACCAGCAATGGGTAAATCGTGATTGTCTTTCAAAATTTGTTTTATTTCGCGTAAAGTCGGATAGCGTATATTATTATGATAAATGTGCATTTCAATGTTAGTGTTGTTAAAGAGATAAAGAATCATGTTGTAAATTTTAATAAAATGATGTTTGTCAAAGGGGGTCTTAAAATCGGAAATAGAGATAGCATTATCACTTTAGCTCAATAATAGGATAAGTTCATTTCTGAGCGGTTTCAAGCTGTCGAATATATTTGTGTATGAAGATTGGTCAAAATGATAAACTTTCGTAAACAAGAAATAGTAAGATTTTTGTTGCTTAGAGTGTGTTAAAAATGATTTTAATGTTCTTTCTTTTCTTAGAAATTGTTCTTTGTCTTCAAAGCTATCGATAATCTTCTCCGTATAAGGTATTGATTCATCTAAGTCTATGGATGTAGAAATAATTATATGTTTATGCGGCGAGTCTAGTAAAATTCCATTCTGTTCTATAATTTTGGTGTTAGGGTTTCATATCGGGTTCCTATTCCTATCGGGTGTGATTTTAAGGAATTTTGGATATGTTTCTGATCTCAAGTTGGGACTATTCAGAGCATCGATTTTATCATTCGAAACATTAGGAGGGTTAGGGTCAGGAGTCGGAGAAAGACTAGGAGTTGGATTTTCATTAGGTTGATCTGGAGTATCGAGTCCTTCGAGGTTCAGATCTCTGAGGTCATCTGGTAAATCGAGTGGATTTACCAGATGGATTTCCGATTGGAGAGGGTATGGCATCTGGGTTTAGGAGGTGATTTCAGTCAGGTGAATTTCCAAACTCTGGAAACAAGGGTCTGTTATCGTCGGTCACTGAGGGTCCTGGAATGGGTTCCGCATTTATAGGGTTTACTAGTACCGCCTTTTCATTAGAGTAACGTGAAAGACCATCTGCAGCATTAAATTTTCCTTTCCTATATATTATTTCATACTCATATTCCTCGAGTTTCAGTCTCTAATCTTTAATAATCTTTGTAAATTACTACTTGGGTTTTTGTGATTAAAAAGCCATTTTAAGCGTTGATGATCGGTTACTATTTGAAAGTGTCTGCCGTACAGGTATGGTCGAAATGTTTTGCAACCGAATAAGATGGCGAGTAATTTCTTTTTCGTAGTATTATAGTTACACTCTCTTTTGTTCAGGGTTCTCGAAGCGTAGGCTATAGGTCTATTCTTGCCTAGCTCGCCCTGAGATAGAATAGCGCCGATGGCGTAATCAGATGCGTCTGTAGTTAAAATGAATGTCTTTGAGAAATCAGGGTATGCTAACAAAGGGGCTGAGATCAATTTTTGTATTAAGGCGTGGAATGCGAGTTGTTATTCATTTTCCCATAAGAAGGAAGTGTCTTTTTTAAAAGGTTCGTCAAGGATTTTGCTAATTTAGAGAAGTCTGAAATGAATCTACGATAATAAGAAACGAATCCCAAGAAAGATTTGATGTTTTTTTATTTTTTTTTATTGCCTTTG